TGGTTTGTTTTTTTGTTATTAAGTTGCATGAGCTGTTTATATATTTTGGAAATTAAGCCTTTGTCAGTTGCATCATTTGCAAATATTTTCTCCCATTCCATAGGTTGTCGTTTTGTTTTGCTTATGGTTTCTGTTGCTGTGCAAAAGCTTACAAGTTTAATTAGGTGCTATTTGTTTATTTTTACTCTTATTTCCATTGTCTGGGTAGACTGCCCTAGGAAAACATTGCTAAGATTTATGTCAGAGAATGTTTTGCCTGTTTTCTTCTAGGAGATTTGTCATTTCTTGTCTGATATTTAAGTCTTTAAGCCATTTGAATTTATTTTTGTGTGTGGAGTGAGGGAGTGTTCTAACTTCATTGATTTATATGTTGCTATCCAGTTTTCCCAACACCACTTGCTGAAGAGACTGTCTTTTCTCCATTGTATATTCTTGCCTCCTTTGTCAAAGATTAATTGACCATAGGTCTGTGGATTTATGTCTGTTCTGTTCCATTGATCCATAAGTCTGTTTTTATGCCAATACCATGCTGTTTTGATTACCAAAGCTCTGTAATATTGTCTGAAGTCCAGGAGGGTTAAAGATTTCAGTTTAGCAGGTACCCTCAGTGTCCTGTGCATGGGTGCCAGTTCAATGGCTGGCAGATGACTGGTGGATTTGGGAATGCAATGAGTGTGCAGTATATGTACAGGGAGATAGGGAGGAAATGCCTACACTGCGCCCTCCTCTCTGACCTGCACATTCTTGGAGATGAACTGAGTGACTGAAGCATGTGGAGGTGTCCGTTTTTCAAGTGAGGAGACTGAGACAGGTTGTGGATTTGCTCATGGGCACTTAGCTAGCAAATAGCAGCCCTGAGATTGGCATCCAGGAAGCCTGGCTTTGGGGTCCATGCTCTGCACTCCTGCACTACACTTCTGCATACATAAGTTCAGGAGATACTTGTTGAACTGACATGAGCAAAATCAATTAGAGATTTTGCTGAGAAAGACATGGCTTTTAGATAAGCTAACTGTGCAGTCTTTATCCAGTCACTTTGCTTCCCTGGTATCCAACTGCTCCTCCATAAAATGAGGGGATTTAAGTTTGTGTCAGTTAAGGTTCAGCAGCACATAAGAGACAAACCCCAAATAGCGAATTAAACAAGGCAAATGTTTGCTGCTCTCTCGTGTGAAAACAAGTCCAGAGGAATTCAGACCAGGTCTGGTTTACAAACTCATTATCATGGACCCACCATCCTGTGTGAGACTTCCACCTGCAAGGTCTCCTCATGGTTCTAGATGTCTACTGGAGCTCCAGCATCACATACACGTTGTGGGCTGGCTAAAGGAGGAAAGAGGAAGGCAATGAGGAGGACACAGAGGTGACTGAGCTCCCTTCCAACAGCCTTCCCAGAAGGCCCACATAGCCCTACCACTTCTATTACTTTGGCTTGAATTCGGTCACACATTCCCACCCAGCTGGAAAGGAGACTTGGTTGTAGGGGGCTTTGTTCCAGGCAGCAAGTGCTCAGCTTAAACTCGTGGTTCTGTTACTAAGGAAAAAGCGAAGACTGGATTTGAGGGTAGTCAGCCAGTAGACTCTGCCACAGGGTGAGAGCCCCTTCTGTTTGAGGGTTCCCTTTGAGTTTCAAGTCCCACAGGAAACTTAACAAAGGTGGGATTTACATCTTTCTGCTAAAAGGTCTAAGATTAAACTGTGAAACTGAGCAGAATCTTGCTAAGGGCCCACCCCTGCCAACCCACACATCCAGAAGCAGTCTTCCTGCTGCACCCAGCTGGGGCTGCTCATGCTGCCCAGGAGGTGCCAGAGAAAGTGCTCAGGGACTAAACTCAATTCCCTGCCCCTGGATATGGCCCAGGGTTTACTCTCCAGCTGTGGTCCTTAGAGTTCTGCAAAGTGTAGCCTCCAAGACCTGCCAGGCCTGCTCCCTGCTGGCCCCCAACCTGACCCCCTTTACCCCATGCCACCCCCGACCATGTTCCCATCATGCTGAGTTCCTTGCTGTTCTCCAGACATATCTGGCTCTGAAGCCCCTGTGCCTTTGCACGTACTCTTCCTCCTGCCTGTGGGATGCCATTTACTTTCTTGTCTGCCTTAAGAATTTCTCCTTGTGCTGGATTCCCCACTCCACCCCACAGCACTTGGGGCCTGCTTCAGTAGTAACACCTGCCACACTGAGGAGTATAGTCCATTTCTGTGTCTGCCTCACAAGGCTTTGCGCCCCTGAGAACGAAGATCTACTCCCAGTGCCTGGCCTGTTGCTTGGCTCAGAGGAGGCTCCTACATATCTGTTGAATTGGGTATGGCAGGGAAACCAAATTAAGGCTCTATGGGAAGGCCTGACTGTCTGGGAAATACCTAGAGACGAAGCCCTTGTGTGGTCACAGGGTTTCCCAGGGCCTGGCCCAACAGGTCATCTCTCAGCTACTCCTGTGGGTTGTAAGGGAACCGAAACCTTCTCATGCCCCTTCCTGCAGCTCACCATCTAGAGGAGTCCAAGGAAGGGATTAAGGCTCTGAGATCCTCATTTGCTGAGTCTCTTGCATCCTGGAGAGGAGCTGCTGGGGGTTAGGGGGTGGGAAGTTTACAAATCAGCATGTGGATTCCAGATTGAGTTCTTTTATGTAGACGGAGGGTCGAGAGATTCTGAGCTATGGCCTGCCCTGGCTTCTGCCCACTGCCCTCTTTGTGAGTCTCAGACAGACCAGTGAACTTGCCTAAACCTCTTGGGGGCCTAAAGATCCTGTTTGAAAGCTATGACCCAATTTTAACAAGGATTGGTCATATATGTGTGGTCATACTCATAAATTTTATACAACAGTATTTTTCAGAGTATTATTTCCACTGAGTACCTAACAAACATATGAACTTCCTGGGACATATTCCAATGCACAGCATAGCTACCCCTGTCTAAGTTCTATCTAATCACCTGCCCATCTTTTATAGGCCACACTCTTAGCGGGAAATGGGGAGAGGAGGGTCGGAGGCAGAGAAGGGGAGGAGAAGAATATTAGAACAGTATTTCCCAGTTTAATCTGTAATGCTCTGTCACTTTTGGTCACTTTTAGTCCTGCCACCTACCAACTAGGTTTTTGTTCACCACAAAGTCACACACCATATGGAGACACTGTGACCGCCATCATCTCTAGGCACGATATTTCCTATCCACCAAGCACAGCTTGACAGGGTGCCATGAGTCTTCTTGTCCCGTTTGGGATGCTGTGCATCCATGAATGGCCAGTATGCTTTTATCCCCTTATCTGAGTTCATTCATCACTACTGAGAGGAGTTCTAACTGCATTATGAAGAAGGTTCCCCTTGAAAGAATATGCTACTCAGTTGAGGGAATTCTACTCAGCTGAGAAAATCTTCTTTAGCTCATAAGCATAAGCTGTATACAGTGGGATTTTATCAAGGATCTAATCTTCCTGGGAGAGCAAAATATAGGTGGTTCCCAGTCTCCCAGAGTTCTCTGCAGCAATCTTTGCTTTTTACTACAAGATATTCCTGGACACCACATCTTAGAGTGAATTCTATTTCTCCATAGTAGTATTAATACAATGGACCTAATGGGGTTCCCATTGGGTTCTTGACCCAGAAAACCACAAATCAGGGTCAGCCTAAACGAATTGTGAAAGTAAATCTTCAGTGACTGTCAACCTTCATAACAATCTTGAAAGGAAAAATCTTGCTCCAAGCTCTACAATGTGGGCATAAAGTTTCCACATATAGTGATTTTACAAAGATTTGCAAAGTAAACCTACAGCCCAAAAAATTTACAACCCTCAAATATCATACTTTTCAATTGTCCAAGTAAACACTTTAGATACAAAAAAACCCTATAACAATAGTCTTCAGAAACTAAATGTCATTAATAGTAAGTCTACTTAATAGTAAGGCAATTTGAACGGATACTTTTGTCTTTCCCATTTTGCAAACCAACGTAAGTGTTACTACTGGGTTTAAAGTTAGAACTTTTCTTCTGGAAAATAATTACTAATTTAGCATGTGGGTCTTTGAAAGCCTCACTAAGGATCACCATTATGAAGCTTTGGTGAATCAGGGTCACTGCAGAGACAACCTACCGGTCTCCCCTCTGCTTGTGTCTCTGTTCTCCCCATTCTTCCCAGTGACACACACCACCTCCACCCAACTCCAATCCAAGGGCAGGCTTTGGTTCAGACACGGGTTTGAGCCTCAGCTCCAAAACTGACAGGTTGTGTGATTATGGTCAAGTTAATAGAATTTTCTAAACCTGAGTTTCATCATCTGAAAGGCAGATAAAGATAGTACCCATCAGAGGGTTTTTGAGAAGAGTTGGTGAAAGATGGCCCTTGACCTGAGACCTACGATGTAGTAAGTGTTCAGTAACTTGGGATTTTTACTGTTATTATTATGGGAAAAGTAACCACTTAGAAATATACTGAATGAAAGAAAGAGATAGTAAAGGATTTCAGGGATGATTTTGATTTGCTATGAATTTCAGGACTCTATAAACACCAGCATAGAGTGACATTCTTTCACTTTTCCCCGTGTTTTCCCAAGTCACTGCCTAGCACCGGGCAGCTGTTGCTCCAATGAGTGAAAATACAATGGGTAAACGCAGTGAAACCATGGCATTGTAGGGACAGAGCCATGTCTCAGAGTGCCTGATCATGGACTCTCAAGGAACATCATCAGAACTTGTCCACTTTCTGGCTTGCTATGTGCCTGGAAAGAGGCAAGAACAGAACTATTCTGGTTGAAAAAGAGCCAGAGGCCTTCCTCCCTGAAGGGACGGCCCAGGAGAGAACCCAGGACAATAACTCACGCTCTTCATATGCTTAATGATCCAGGAAGGCTTTCGCTTAAACCAGCTTGCTAGAGCCTTGCAATAATCCCAAGAGGTCTATAGTGCTATAGCCCTCATTTACCCAGTCAGTTATTTAGGCAATCGTTCCATGTCCCCTGAACGCTTTCTATGCACAGACTCCGGTGGTGAAAAAACACACACAGTCCCACCTTCAAGTTGCTTTTAATCTAGTTGGAGAGATGCACAATCAATTAAGCAACCAATAAATAAACGTAACCAGGGCCACTGTTCTGCTCATACACACTGTCTGGCCAGGCATGGTGTTAAATATTTGAATATCATCCCCTTAAACACTTATGAGTTGTGATTAGTGCAGTGAAAGCAATGAGTATAATGATGTGATGGCGAACTGTGGGGGTGGGAAGCTCTTTTATATGGGGAAGACTCTTTGAGGAGCTGATATTTAAGCCAGACTATGAAGGACAGCACAGCAGATGTAGCAGAACAAGCACTTACGGACTAATTTACCTTCTCAGTTGAAATAAGCTGGGCCACTCAAAAGGTTAAGTCAGGGAATAACAGGGACTGGCTTATATTTAGAAAACTGATGGCAAAATAAAAAATGGAAAGGAACTGAATCTCTTGTAATTGGAAGTAATTGAGCATAGTTTGGATGTATATGTGGCAAATATCCAAAGGTACAATTCACACATGAGATGACGGTTTGTACTAGATAATCTTTAAGGCCCCATTCGAACCTGGAATTATATGATTCTCTGAAAACTGTACAACTCGGTGTAAATCTTTATCACTGGTATTCCTGCTGCCCCTGCTCTGTCAGGTCATCACAGCAGCGCCCTATACGGGAATGCTCTCCACCCAGGAACTATCTGGATGCACATTTGAAGATGGAAAATGAAGAGGCATTGGCACTTAGATAACTAGCTGAGCATGATTGCTTTGGGGTGCTAGGACCACAGCCCATACAGACAAAGGGGCAGAACATCTACAGTGTGATCACAACACTGTAAAAACATGGGTGCAACCAAATTGTTAAAATTGTGGCTCGTGGTAGAATTTTGAGTGATCTTCACATAACTGTTGGATCCTTGTAAATGTCCCCCAGATCTAAAAAATGCATATTAATTTTTAATGAGGAAACAAAAGTGTGGAGTGGGGGCGGGACTCACTAATGTGAGCTATTAGTTGTTGTGTTAATATTTTTGTTTCCTAATTTGCAGTGATCCTGCATTATGGTGGTCACATGAGAGCCAAGCTGTTTCCAGAAATCTCAGACTCTTCTCCATCCACAACAGCAGCAACAGTACAGGCCCCAGCAAAACCTTCTCTCCTGCAGCCCACTAACCATGTGCCTCACAAAACTTCAGCAACAAGATCAACGGATGGTCATGTCACCTCTCAAATAGCTTTCACAACCTCCAACTCTGAGACCCTGACCACCCACACAACCATAAAAATTCCAGCAACAACTTCCCTGGTAACTACAAACAGCACCTCATCTACCAGCCCAATAACCCACACCCTGGTCACAACCCTGGCCGTAACCAACAAGTCACACACAACTTCAGTCACTGAGGCTACAGTCGGTCCCAGCATGGGTCCCAGTTCATCACCACCTACCATCACCCCACCAGCCCACACAACTGGAAACAGGCCCTCGACTGTCAGCCACACCACTGGGAAAACCACCCAACCCAGGAACCAGACCATCCTTCCAGCAACTCTGTCTGCCTTACCACACAACAGCACAACTAGTCGGAAGCCTACTCTACCCACCAGCACCCCAGGTCCAACCACAACCACAAATAATACCACCCAAACAGCCTCACCTGCCCCCACAGCTCCAGGGCCCACCCTTGCACCTCAGCCGTCATCACCCAAGACTGGAATTTATCTCGTTCTAAATGGAAGCAGGCTCTGTATCAAAGCAGAGATGGGGATACAGCTGACAGTTCAAGATTCAGGGTTGGTAAGTCAAGGCCATAGGACTGTAACGCTATCTTCAAAAAGTTTGAGTGGGAGTGCCTGGCTAGGAATGAACACTCCCCTGCATCCTGTATCTTGAAATAAAACTGCGAGCTCCTCTTTCTCCAAGGTGCTCCATTAAAAGCTGAATCTGTTTTAGAATACATATAAAAGTAGCAACCGATAGTGATTGTGTGGATCAAAGAAAGCACGCATCAAGATTTTAAATACGCACACCCCTCAGTTTCAGCCAGTATGGGCAGAGTGTGTGTCCAGCGTTGACCCCAGCCTGACTCTGCCCCTCTGGATGACTTCCAAGCCTCAGCAACTTTCCTGTGAAACGAGAGGTTTGGATTAGATTGTCTCCATGGTTCCAGCCAGCTGTCACATTAATATGACAATAATATGAAAAATCCAACTTGACAAGAAGATTGGAGGGAATAGGGTTGGGGCTAAGGGTATTCAATTTACTAAAAGAATCACTATAAAGATAACATGTCCCTTTTTGGCATAGTTTTAATGACTTCAAAGAAACGTTCCACATGCAGGTTTTTAATTTGAAACAGAAGGGTAGCAAACTGGGTAGCAAAACCTATCCTGTAGTACCCTTCAACGTGTTTGATTCAACAAAAATTAAATTCCACGTGGTTTATCAAGAGTATACTTGCCATGAATTATCTATCAAAGAACTCCTTCAAAAAGTCTTTTAAACGAAAGAGTTTGGAAATAAGAAGTGTCTTTGGGGACTTTGAAATTCTCCAGTGAACACTCACTAGCCTTGAATTTCAGGCCCATTTACTGGCCTGTGCTTCTAGTCTCTCCGAGCTGGAGTTTTCTTCCACAGTTCACTGAAACAACCTCCTTTATTTGGTTTAGGTTCTTTCACGCCTAAGATACTTCAGCATCGACCCCAATGCAACTCAAGCCTCTGGGAACTGTGGCTCCCGAAAATCCAACCTTCTCTTGAACTTCCGGGGCGGATTTGTGAATTTCACATTTACCAAGGTGAGGCTGAGCTCCTTCACTCTACCTGGCTCTAACGCCGCTTTCCCTAACCCTCACCCTGGGGGCCGGTGGTGCAACCCTCCACTTCACTTTAAGTGCAGGGGAAATAGACTTCAGAGACTTTTGAGATCTTCTCTGATAATAACGAGGGTCGTGGAGACGCAGAAGGCAAGTGTCAACATCTTCTGTTTGCTTTCCTCCCTCTTCAGCCTCCTCAGTGCAGCCTAAGAAGGGCTTTGATGCCTCTTGGGGGAGACTTGGCCTTGGGGAACCTGGCCGCAGTGCCCCTTGCAAGCCACCCAGAGGAGGAAGTTGTACAGATGAACAGACCCATAGAAATTCCCAGTGGGCATGAAGAAACGTGATTACACTAAGACCAAAATTAAATGTCACAATGGGTTCTTTCCAACCACAGCAGGCAAAATTCAGGGACAAACCAGGCACAGGGTTTTCCAGACCAGATCTTGGGAGGGGGAGGCAACGGAGTAGAGTGGAAGAGCATGGTTGTGGGGACAGAGTCTTGGCTGCAAATTTGACTCTGTCACTTGCTCTCCTTGTGGCACCAGGCAGGCAATTTCACCTGTTTGAGTATTTTTTTTAATCACTTGAAAAATGGGGGAAAATTTGTCCAGTACATGGAAAGTGGATGTTCAATAGCCAGTAGCTGTGATCACAATGACTGAAATGGGCAAATGTCCTGGGAACACAGTGATGGTCATCTCCCCCTGTCAAAGCAGAGACTTGCCCCTGCATGCCCCAGAGTGTCCTTCAAATAGGTCAAGAGGACCCTTGCAGCTGGAACTTGATGGGAGCCTCCTTCTTGCCTGTCTGACGTGACCCCTGAAGTTAGAGGGTCTTGGTTAGCAAATCTTGGAGAGCAGTGAGCATAGACTTTGGGATTAGAGAAATCAAGACTGACTCTCAGCCATAATACTTAGGAGCTGCATGATCTTGGACTAGTTGGGGCTTGTTTCCTTCTCTATAAAATGGAAATAACGGCAGCTATTTAGTAAGACTCTTAGGAGAATTAGAAATGCTATACGTAAACTGCCTAGCACAGTGTATGGTACATGCAATGGTCAATAAAGAGGAGTTATTAACTTGGCCTCACAGGCTTTATCTTCCTCATACATGCTTTTCTCCTTAAGGTAGTGATGCATTTGAAAAGTTGATATTTTCCTTTCAGTACCAAATGGAAAAACACATAATCCTTCACCAGAAGAATATTCAGGGCATAATAAGTGCTCTGTTCCTGGACAACTGAAGTTAATCTAGAAAGATGTCAGGAATCTTTAAAGAGTCACTTCAGCAAAATGGCAGCGGATAGGCATAAGCATTTATGCTCTAATTTAGGGCTTAATCCTACCCAGACCATTGCGTCTGTGAAAAACTGCCTAAGGAAAGGCTTCCGAAAACTCCAGTGTTTGTCTGTGGCACACAGTGGCCACGCTGCCAGGCCATGGACAGAGCTGTGAGCAGGAGCTGCTTTGGCATCTTTCCCTGTCTCTTTTTGCTCCTTTCATCTGTTTCTTGGAACGATGCCTTCAGGCTCAACTCTATTTGATCAAGCTCCACTCAAGTGTTGAATCCCTGCCTTTCTGGAAATCCTCTATGCCTCCAGAGGCTGGACAGGAAATGAGTGCCCAGTAGGGCTAGAAGGACCAGTAGGGCCCCCTCTTTCCATCCTCCTTCAGGAAGGAATAAGGTGAGCCTCTCAGTTCATGGCTCCAGGTGTTGCAACAGCAGCTTTGCCGAGTCTCACCAACCACATTCACCATATTCATTCCACTCCCAACACCACTTCCCAAGGCAGCTGACCTTGGCTCTGTCACAGGAGAAAGCAGGGGGGCTCATAGAAAGTAAAAATTCCCACCACCCTTAACCCTTCTGGGGGATTTCCACATTTTAAAAGAGAAAATGTTTAAGCCAAAACAGTGGCCACAAATCCAAAGATTACAGGGACTAAGCATAGACCTTAATGAGTCAAGTGGTGAAAAATTAAAAATGTCTTTTTCCTGGTAATGGGCAGTCCTTATTTTTTATTTTCCCACTTTTGATGAAGACTTCATTCTTCCATTAAATCTGTATAAGAAAAATGTGAGCATAAGCATGCGATGGCAAGCCTCAGAGGGAGGGGTAAGGAGTGCCCTCCTCCTCCACAGGGCAGTTAAGTATTTTACACCTCACCTCTGTCAGGTGGTGACGAGAGACCAATGTTTGTCAACACTGACTATTCAAGAGAAGTCAGAAATCCAGATCTTTTTATAAGACCACATGATTATTGAGTGTTGACAACACATTTTTAAAAAATTTGGCCAAACAAAACACAACTATAGGCCAGACTTGGCCTGTGGATCCTGGCACCATGCCTTCTACCCGAACAGGTGAACTATGTGAAATGTATTTAGACAGGAAAGTTGTCTAGATTCTTCCGCAAGAGAAATGGGCTCAACAATTCAGTCAGACAACTTTGCAAATGTTGCTACCTTCTACCCCAGTGCTTCTCAACAGCAGCAGTATTAACATCTGGGTTAATATGGATAAGTCTTTGCAGTCGGGGCTGTCCTGTGCCTTGTGGGATGCTGAGCAGAATCCCTGACTGCTACCTACGAGATGCCAGTAGCAACACCCAACTCCAGCTGGGACAGCCCAAAATGCCCCCAGATGTTGCTGAATGTCCCCTGGAGGGCAAAACCACCCCCTGGTTGAGAATTAGTGCTCTGGAGAGAAAAAGAGCCTTGGAAAATAGAACTACATGTTAGTTATAACGTCATAGATGTTATAAATGTGAACCAAGTATAGAATGATAAATGGATGCTGATTAGCAAGACTGATTTGTCAACCAATTTATCAATAAGAATTTACTGAGCACCTATTATGTCCCCAACAATAAGCTCAACATAATGGGAGAAATAAAAGAAATATAAGCCAGGGGAGGGTATAGCTCAAGTGGTAGAGCGCATATTTAGCATGCATGAGGTCCTGGGTTCAATCCCCAGAAAATCCATTTAAAAAAAAACTAATAATAAATAAATAGATGTAATGACCTCCCCTCCTAAAATAAATAAGTAAATAATTTAAAAAAGAAATACTGGCTATAGTTTTAGGTTTCAAATCATGTACAATAATTTGTAATTTTTAAAATTGAAATATTGCCAATGACAGAAACATAAAAAAAAATTGCCTCCTAAAAAATCACTTGAAGTTGTTCAGGCAAGACTTAACTTATGCATATCATTTCTGTGTGACTGTGGACAAGTTGCTAGCTCGCTCCCTCTGAGCCTCAGTCTCCTATTCTATAAGATGGGCCCGCCAGGACCTGTTCTGTCCGGCCGGACGCTGTGAGGGTGAGCTGGGCTGGCATATGTGAAAGTGCTGAGCGAGGCGTCTGCCCTTTAGTGGGATCAGGAGAGGTGGGTTTCCTTTCTCATTTCCCTCAGTTTCATTTTTTTAAAAGCTGAAAACTTTTCCATGTCAGTGTCTCATTTGATTAAGGTGACATGCTGAAAGCTGTTCAGACCCTTCAGGTGCGGGGTAAATATATCTCCTTTCCCCTGCTACTCCCCACAACTTCCTTCCTGCTCAGGATAGTTGGTTTTAAAAATGTCTTTCAGACACTTTGTGTAGAGTTGAAGTTTCTGCTCTCAACGCTATGCCGTTGTCATCCACCTGATTGGCAGGCAGCACAAGTTTGCAGCACTGGCTCTGGGACGTGGGAGAAACCAGTCACCAAGAGGGAGGGGCAGCAGGGTCAGGCAGCACATCGGCCAGCCGCGGTCTGGAAGTCTAACTGCCCAGCCGCCTGGTGTTGCCCCCAGGGCCTTTCAGGGTGTTTGGAGCCCTCTTAGCTGTCAGACTCCTGTAAACTGTTATCAGTGATCAAACGTTAACACCCTCAGAGCACACTATTTAGAACTTTCCGAGGATGCCGCACCCTTCATGTCCTGTTTTCCCTTGTGGGCTCCCCTCCGCCTGGAATGCCCCTGCCACCCCTAAGCCGCTTTTCCATTCATCCTTTAAGATGACTCAATTATTGTTATGCTATGAAGTCTCCCCCACCCACCTGCACCTCCATCCCAAGTTAAACTGGGATGCTTTCTTCTCTTGGTTCCCTGACCCTCCATGTGCTCCCCATTCAGGCCCTTACTGTGCATTTTGCCATCCTGAAGGCAAGTGTCTGACGTATTCACATTCCTCTGTCTAGTGCCCCACCCTGACTCTGTATATAGTATATCTTTAGCAAATGTTTGATGAAGAAACGAATCAATAAAAGAGAGAATCTAAATTTCAGAGAACTCTGTGCCAAGTTGCCAAAAAGTAGGTCAGCTGCTCTAAAGACACAACTCTTTGGCTTCCTTTTGTTACCTCCAGAGCAGAGGTTTCTTGATGAAGTCAAGACAACACTGAGCAAAAAATACCTGATTGATGTTGAAGACGCAGTCCACATCCTGAACATCTGTGACTGTGAAACTCCCACAATGCATTTTGCAGAAGTTGAGGAGAGAGGACCCTAGGCCTGTCGGTCATTGGCGTTATGACTTCCTGCACAGGCTTGACTGGCTGGCTTGCTCTGAACCTTGTCCTCTGCTAAGAAAGGTGTTTAAGATCTCTTTCATGAGCTATTGCAGAGATCCCTTTAGACACTGGTAGTGAGGAGCCACTGTGTCTAGATCCATCGGTTGAATAGTGAGATGAGATTTTACAAGCGGTCCATTCAAATGGACAAGCCGTAAGTGTTAGTACCGTATTTGGCTGTTAGGAGTCCTCGGGCCCCCTTTTGTCAATGCTGATGAGTACACAAAGGATTTTAACTTTGTCTTCAAGAATCCAGCATGATAAACATTTGTCACTGTCCAACTCGAAACCCAAGTGAGAAAAACATTTGGCAGAAATTAACCCTGTGGGTGTCAGAGGAGTGAGCACACACTATAAATTGCTTACTGTATGGTATGTAATTTCCCTTGGGCTTTGGGTTAAACCTGACACCAGCTTGAAGCACTCAACCTCCCCTCCCCACCACCGCCCTCCTCTGTATCCACCCCATTCCCATCCCCCAGAGCTGAGGTTTCAGCCTGGTTCTCTATTAACTTTTATTTATTTCTTAATTTACTTTTATTTACTTTTTAAGTTTTGTTGAGCCCAGGACCTTGTGAGTGCTAGGCATGCACTCTACCACTGAGCTATACTCTCCTCCCTTCTCAGCCTGGTTCTTTAATACATAAGGGTAGCTGAGCTTAATTCACTGGTTTTGCTCTCTCTTTCTTGCTGTTTGCAGTGAATCTGAGCTCTGGGAGCTAGGTAAAAATGATCATTTGAGCTCAGTGAGAGCGGTTTACTGGGCAGGGGCAATCTTATTATTACTGTTGTTAATAACACCAGTTAAAATTTGAATGAAGACTCTGTGATAAGCTTTTATGTGATTTCTTCATTTAATCCTCACATCAACCTAAGAGGTAAGTCCTGTTATTATTGTCTCATTCTTCTACTGAATAAGGTAAAGAATTAAAATTTTGGAATGTTCACAGAGATTTGACAACTCAAAATAGGCTACATGGAAACAAAGACATTTTTTTAAGTAGTATTTAAAAATTCTTAGCAACGTTTTATTCTTGCAAATGTTTTAAAGAGAGTGGTTAACCAACTGATTTGTTCAGCAACTTTGTTTGTCATTGATGGTGTAGACTAGGAGTCAATAAGCTATGGCCCCCAGACCAAATCCAGCCCACCACCAAAAAAATGTTCAATGTCTTTTTCTACAAAAGTTCACCTAATAAATTCTCTTCCTTCCTTATGAAGATACACAGCAGCTCAGTCGCAGTCAACGTTTGTCTAATTTTGATTCAGGCTCTGGATTCTGTCCTGTTCCAGCCTAAGATGAACTTGCAGTGGGTGTGAGCACTGCCATCTGCTTTGGAGGGCCTCACCTTGGGCATTAGCGCCAGAAAGCACCAGCTCTGGAGGGGCAGGGCCAGGCCCCCTTCCTGTCAGGGCCAGCTTCATGGGCATGTGACCTGTGCAGTGGGGAGCACCCATGCTTGGTTTAAAGCTTTCCTGTCCCTCTTGGGTTTCTCAGTGATTTCTCATCTTGCATTTTCATTTTGTACTAGGCTCACAAATGACGTGGCCAGCCCTGCTTCCTAGAGATGGCTATATATCTAGGCAATTACATTTCAGGGAATGTGGAAGAAAGTTCTTGCACAACACATTTTTCCTCTCTAATATCCCATGAAGGAAAATGTAGAGCAGGACCCTGTAGACAAGATCTTGCTTTGTCTCACCTACAAACAATGTACCTCAGAAAAAGATGCTAGGCTCCCCTGAGCCTCTTTGTTCTCTGCTGTAAAATGGGCTAAGAATTTTTACGCTGCCTCAGGGAGTTGTGAGGATCAAAGAAGGCCACGTAGGTGAACGCATGCACTTAGTAACCTGTGAAACCCTTAGAGAAGTACATAGCACCCTTTCCTTACGGCCACGAGGATAGGTTGAGGAGATGTCACAGGAGAGCAGCTTCCAGGAGGTCTCCCACGGAGCTCAGAGCTGGCCCAGTCACTGTTCTCCTGCTGCTCCTAAAATCAGTCTCGCACTGCAGCCCAAGCAATTTCCAAAAACAAAGCCATGCTTATGTCACTGCCCTGCTGAAAACCCTTCAATGGATTCTCTCTGCCCTTAGGATGGGGCAGAGTCTTGTAACAGTGACTACGAGCCCTGATGTACAGGTCTCTCTTATGCTAAAAGGGACACCAAACAAAGAATAACCTGAATAAACTGTATGTGAAAGAAGCCCAAGAAGGGCCTGGGTCACAGTTATTTTTCTCTAAAACAAATGGATGGTCCAAGGACACTGTTCAACTTGTTCAGACCCAAGACTGAGCACTTAGAATGAGGCATCCAGATCTTATTCTTCTCCCAGAACCTAGAACAGTGCTTGGTCAGGAGTGGATATAAGAGAAGTTAAAGGCTAGCCTGGCAGCCTGGGGTCATATCTTCCCCAGCCACCTATTAGGGCTGTGACCTTGAGCAAGTCACAGTCACTGCAAGGATTAAATAAGGCACGGCACAGGGGTGTCTGTCCCACGAGCTGAGAAGCTCCCAGCACAAGGTAAGAAGCCGGCCTGTGGATGTGCTGCTCAATGAGCTGTAGGGTCTACAGTTCAGTGGATCGATAGTGACCTCACTAGAACAGCCTGTATTTCCGGAACCCTTATTTGTGCAAGGAAGCATCATTTCATCCACAAATAATATATAAATTATTTTATATAGAAGGTAATGAAATGTAATCAAATTATTATTAAATTTCTTTAATGACTAGATTGTAAACAACTAAAAGGAATTCAGTTTCAGATTCTGATTTTGGTTGCTCTACCATTTTTGGCAACTCTTACATGTGGACAGTTTACTAACGAATGTTCAAAAGCAATAACACCTACTTTAAAAAATAAAAACTCCTTTTCCAACTTACCCTTTCGTACCACGATTCAATTTTTTTTAATGTTCCATACCCTGAGACTCACAGGAAGTTACAGGGCTGTTTTGTAGGGTTTTCTTGTTTGTTTTGTTTTTCCAAAGGGACAATCCCCAGGTAAAAAGTGGAACATTGCTTTATATTTCTGAACACAACAACCTGGGGTCCTCTTTTCAGAGAACACCCAGTGATCTCAGGGTTAACCATTTTTTTTTAATCCCTCCCGGTGGCCCCATCTAACCATTTTGGAGGCACAAACCCATTAATCTGTTTAAGTAGCTGACACCCTACCCAGGAAAATGCACACACAATTCTGTATACACTGTTTTTCCCAGAGGGTTTATGGACCCCATGAAGTTCCCCCATGGTAGCCTTAAGGGTGAGTGGTCTCAGTTTGACTTCTCACCTTAATTACTAGGAAAAGCTTAATGTACACCCGCCAACCCGTCCACCTTCCAGATGTATTTGCGTTTCAACAGTGGAAAACTTGGCCCAGCTGAAGGGACTCAAATTGTTTGTATAAGTGGAATTTGAATTTCAGGTTCTAGCAACAAGTATGCAGTAGAAAAATGTTTAGCCGCAGACAAGCTATTACTTGTTATTTATTTATTGCGTGATATGTTTACATTTTTGGAAATTTCCAAACACAATTATGGCTCCATACCAACACACCGCCCAACCCCCATGTCAAGGATTTAATAGCTGCCTAAACAGCCTGTAAGCTAGGATCATAAACATAAAAATAGAGATTATCCAAAGGTTAACATACTGCTGTTTTACAGGGTGAAAACTCCTATTATATCAGTGAAGTGGGAGCCTATTTGACTGTCTCAAATCCAGGTAAGTTCCACAGTTTCAACTTTTCATCCCATTGAATTTGCTAATCTTTGATGCTGCATTTGAGAAACAGACTGAGAGAGTAGACAACAATGTAACTTTGGGAGAACTTACTTCACCTCTGTGTGCTTCAGTCTGTTTGTCTGCTCATGAAGCAGATTGAACTATATTATGTCGACGATCATCACTGGCAGAAAAAGAGCTGAGTAGCTCACAGATTTGCTGTTAATGATCCAGTTTATTCAGTACTCTCAGAATCATGCATTCATTCTATGAGAATGTAGTTAGTGCCTGCTGGGTTCCAAGCCCTGTAATAGGTACTGAGGATCCATAATTATCTAAACATAAAGTCCCTGGCCTCCTGGAGCTTACTTCCTAGAAGTGGGGACAGGGCCATAAACAGACACATTCAATTAGACGAGCCTCCTCATATAGGCTGGGGAATAAATATTGTGAATGGTAACATAAATTAGCTAATGTTATCACTAGCTAAATTCTAGCTAGTGACAGGGTAGTAATATCTCAAGAGGCAGGATAGGGGAAAGGCAGACCAGAAACTGAGAGGCTGAGAGAGGGGATAAAACAATCCTAAGTCTCCATGATCAAGGCTCAGCCGTCCAAATACCACTTACCAGCTGCATGATACTAGGCAAACGTTTTCAGCTCTCTGACTCTCCATTTCCTCATCTGCAAAGTGGAGACAGTAGTACCTCCCTCTAAAAAATGTGAGAATTAAGCAGGAAAGTGCACAGAAGTGCTTGCACAGCGCAGGGCACACAGTGAGCAGACCCTCAGTGTGGGATGTTATGTCAGACGCAGGCAAAGACACCCACAGAGGCAGGAGAGGAGGGAACGTCTAGACTCTCTCACTAACAGCCCACGGGTGAATTCACTGAGATCCACAGTCTGTTCCTCAGCCCTGGGAGGTGTCGGCACATCCTTAAGTAGTGGCTGTCTCTTCAAGTAAACCAGGATCATGAAACCAATGCATAAAATCAGAATGCAAATTTGGTCATTTGTCATGCTCCTGTTTCTTACAGTAACTGCAGGAGGACCAGACAATTGGGTCCTCTGGCCAGTGAATTTTCTCCCATTCAGGAAGCCCAAGTGTACTCGGAAGGGAGCTTGGTGGAGGTGGAATTATAGCAAATGGAGTTAATTATATGAGTAAAATGTATAACCCATGTGCCTTGAAGCATACACCTCCTTAGAAAGGGTGCACCTATCACAAAACAGGGCCAGTCCTTGAGCAGGACCGTCTCTCCCAGCGGCGCTCAGGTGGACGGGGATGGCCCTCTCCCTTCTCTTTGTTTCCATGGATAATGCAACAACCCCTCCCAGCGACGGGCTTAGTCCTTCCTTTTGCTGCATTAATGCATTCAGTCTGGGGATATATAAATACTTGGTGACTTTGCATGTCTCTGCTCTGATTCATTACGAGTTCATGTGATTTTGTCTCAGAGAACAATCTTACCTTTTTTATTACTGAAGTTTTTGTGGGCACTTCTCTGTCGTTCCCCAAGCATTGACAAGAGTCCCCACCAACTCTGCCCCCAGTGATTTAAAATAACTGAGGAAAAGATTGCCAAAAGTTTCATTTCAATGTTATCACATCCCAGTTTATGTGAGGCTGCCCCTATATATTCCAAACAGAGCACCAGAAAGAAGCTCCCAGACGGCACTAGGGTGACTTTTCATGAGGAGAAGGGGACAGAACTCCAGAGACCCACACCTAAGGAAGGCCATTTAATGGCATGTGGCCACTCCACAACAGCTGGGGCTCAATGGATATTTGCCAGGATTCTTATATGTCACTGTTTCACCTCTGTTGTTTTCAGAGAAGGTTTACCAAGGAATGCAAAATGCTGTGGTGATGTTTGAGACTGTGGTTGGGCATTCCTTCAAGTGTGTGAGTGAACAGAGCATCCAGCTCTCACCCCACCTTCAACTGAAAACAACGAATGTCCAACTTCAAGCCTTTGATTTTGAAGACGACCACTTTGGAAATGGTAAGTTATGGGTTCATCGTGTCACAGACATAAACTCCTGAGACCCAGGGGCAGTTTCAAGTTGTTTTCATTTGAAGCTTTCAGAGGGATAAGAATCACATGAATGTCCTAGAACAGTATGATTCAACAAAGCTCTTAGGGTCAAGTTTCTCTGGCCTCCCTCTTACCGTTCCTCTGTGCCTCAATACCAACCTCGAAATGAGACACCTCAACTCACTCGTGTTCACTGCCTTCGCACAGCAGAATACATTCCCCTTGTCTGACCAAAAGACTCATTCTGACCCTTTTAAACACTCACACACTCAGTCAATCAAAAAGTCAGAAAACACCATTGGCAACCTCCCCTACTGTTCAAGCTGTTGAGTACTGGTAAACTCAGGTGTCTTTGGGGAACTTTAAAAATCCTGCGTATTAGTGATATCTAAAATTCAGGATTTCAGGGTAGATTCGTTCCCACTTGCAGAGGGAAAAGGAAAAGCTGTAATAATTTTAGACAGAAATACACTCTGTTGAATCCCCTCTTCTCGAGTCCGGGCTGTTCCACCTGACTGGTGCTTCCTCATAGTTAGTTTCAGTTTCCATGAAACTTCTGCTTTGGGTTTTCACCACCACAGAGGGAAGCAGGTCCTAGGAGGAAAGTCAGGGGCAGCCCAGGGTGACTTTCCAAAAAAGCCCTTTCCTCCCCACCAGAAAAACAGTATTGCAAGGATTTCCACATTTGGGCAGGAATTGAACTTCAGTTTCTAAAAGCATCTCTCTTATAATAATTCAATGACATCATGAGTACCTCTCAACTATCAAAAATAGAGTTAGCTACAAGTTTAGCTATAATTTAAATTTCTATACTATGAATCTGATTTCTCTTTGAATCCCATCATAAAGTTGAAGTTGTGTCTGGCAGGGAACTTCAGATATACTCCATTTAGCCAAGGAAGGATTAAAATGTTACTTGCCTTGGATCGCCTGGTTTCTGCAGGTTTTGTCTGAGTCCTACAATCTCTATCTTCGTTTTGGAGATTTACCACAGTAGTAAGATTAAGTGCTAAAATTTGCTGGTGAGTGTTGTCCCTACTTTGTCATCTTGTCTCAAAATATCCAATATGGGGAACTCTTAAAAATTCATTATGAAGGCTCAAACGAACTCTGTATTTAGTCATGTGGTCTTAAAAATAAGGCACACACTTGCTCTTCCTCCTCTTCAGAACCTGTGTAGGAGGAAGTGAGCAGGTCTAGGAAACCTCTTAGTGGCAGAGGTGAGAAATAAAACCTTTCAGCTGGACACCTGGCCTGTTAGCAGTGCTCATAAGGAGATGTAAGAAAGCTTTCTTCGTTTTTCCCTCGCCCTCCCTCACCCTCCCACATTCATAGTCACAAGGCCCTATCAGTTCTACCACCAGATGACTTCTCTTGTTCATTCCACCATTGCAGCTTCAGCTCAGCTCCATAGTCCCAGTCTTTGTGCTTCAAATTTCACTAAAGATGCTCTGATGTGAAGTTGTTTGTCATTCTATAGGTAATATTTTCTACCCGAGAGTATGAGAAGAGGGAAAAAGGAGCAAGTTAAAAAAATAAAAGTTACCGTGCAGCATGGTGTTCTAAAAGGCCTAATGCAAAGGAAGGCCTGATGAACACAGCATTGCGGGCAGGGGTCAGGGAAGTCCAAGAACTGGAGAGGAGTCCAGCAAATGTAAATGCCCAGCCTTATCAAAGAGACTGTTGTCCCACACAGTCGGCTTCTGACCCCCACATTCTCAACCTCTTCTCTGTAAAATCTCAGCCTGCAAAAAGTCTCCCCATTACCAGGAGCCCAGGCTGTCCAGCAGCGCCTTCAAGAGGCACAGAGTTGAAATAGAAGACTTTGGCCACGAGACTTGGTGCAGGTCCCTGTTTCCAAAGTTGGGAATCAAGGCTCCCCGGCTTCCTCTGGCCTGAGAGTCAATTCTGATTCAGACCCTCTAGACTGAACCAGTGTTTCTCAAAGTTGAGTCTGCCTCCCAGCTACTTCAGAATCAGCTGGGACCCACCTTCAACCCGCTGAATCGTAATTGCCTGGGTGTGGGGCCTGGGGATCACCCCGTAAGTGAGCACAAGCACTGCAAGTGGCACTGCCCCTGTCCTTTCTCGTCTCCGCCAACTGTGTGTCCCTGGCAGCAGGGGGGGAGGCCCAGCCGCTCCGTCTCCCACCCGGTTTCCTCCCGCCTGAGGCCGAGGTGGGCAGGGGCAGCATCACATCCCAGCATTGTGGCCAGCCCATAACACCTGTTACTCTGACTTCAATTACAGCGGATGAATGCTTCAGTGACAGAAACAGGAGAGAAATCCCTGTGGCTGTGGGCCTGAGTATTGCAGGGCTGCTTGGCGTTCTGCTAACAGCATGCCTGGTGACCAGAACGAGGCCCAGTAGAGGATATGAACACATGTAAAGCCCTACCTTTTTCAAAAGGTGCAAGGTTATGGCCTTGGAAATTCTGGCTGCATGTTTAGCCCTAAGTGAAGGGATGGACTTTTCCAGTCGCCTGCTCCATTCTCCCAATCTGATTAGGAAACTAGCTCTCCACCAAAGGGCCATCAAAGGCTAACTCTACTGTAGCCCCTACCCCACTTCTTCCCATTAGGGTGACGAGGTTGTGCCGTATGGGCTTGGATGCCGTGGCCCACACCTGATAACACAGGCCAGGCGGAGACAATTAGGGACAAGAGGTAGGGATGCGAGCAAGGTCCTTGTGAGGAGAAAGCAAACACCCAAAGGGAGGATTGTGGGAAAGACGTCTTCAAACTGCACTGATTTTTCTTACACATTTTTAAGAGTCTCAATATCCAGTTTCTTTTTTTAAAAAGTATTAAAGAAAAACCAATCCATTTCAAAATAAATTGTAAAATGATTTTAAACACCTGGTTTTTGCCCAATTCCTGATTTACTTAAATTACCAATGGTCTTGATAGACTATCATTTTTTTAAAAAGACATATTCTACACTATTATAGTATATTATTAGTAGAAAACTTCCCACCATTCCACCTTTTCTTTTTTCTAAAGGGATGTGCTGGGGATTGAACCCAGGACCTCATGCATACCAAGCACACACTCTACCACTGAGCTATACCCTCCCCCACCAACATTTCCTTTTTTTTAATGTGAAGGACATACCAAAGATCTTGGCAAACAAAAGAGACTTAATAAATGTTAGTTCTCCATTTCCTTGAGTTTCATTTGTTATCTGCCTTCTTGACACCTTTTTCCTGTTTTGTCTCTGTTTTTCTTTGATTTCAGTTTATCCCTGTAGACCTGTTAATTTGAGCCATTGGGAAGCAGAGGTAGGCAAAGCATCAAAACAATGAGAAACGGCAAGCAGAAGAGGTAGATCTACCCAGGTTGTTGTCCACTTGACTTTTAGAACAACATTTACCAAAAAAACTGTAAACCAGAAAATTCCTGATTGGGAGTGGTTGTTGTTGGGAGGAGAATTTCTATTAAGCTGTTGCTTGGAATGTTATTCACGGTTTTCTAGTCCATGGACTGCTTACATATGAGAACCAGGGTTTTTATTTCAGAGGAAGGGGAGAGTAACAGACTTCTGGGTGTTTTTAACTGCTTTTACCAACAGAAAGTTTTCTTGTCTTTCTACACTTTCCAGAGGTGCCATTCATTATTTTTAACAGGAAGTTTATGAAAGGTTGGCGACCACTCTATAACCACTGCTTACCTAGGATGTGTACTGGTTCCTTTGAGGCCTTTCAGCTCTCTCCACTTTCTGAGGAGTGAGTAGGGGGAGGGCATGCGGCTGCTTCAAGAGTGCTTCAAGAGTCCTTGAAGACGGCTGGAGTGTGAGGACATTCCTGTTTCCTCCTTGCAGCAAGAGGTGTTGGTGCAAATCTGGGATGTGAGGACCCAGTGTTCCCCAAAGTGACTTGGGTTGAGCAGCAAGGACTTGGCTTTGGAGAGATACCATCTGTCTCCATATCCTCCCTCTAGCAGGCACCAACCAGTGCCCGCTCGAGACTCCCATTTCCAGTTCAGCCTCAAGTGTACTTGGAAGGTTCTATACCGCAGCGCACGGGCAGCTTATTCACAGGTGCCGCTCACCATCCTGTAGAATGACTAGAGGAAGGTTGATCTTCTAGTGTGGACGTTTCTCCCATAGCAGATGCAAAAAGCAGTGGATTGAAATCAGGAAGAGTGGGATAAGGCAGGTCACTTGAGGTTAGTTTTCCACTCTACCATCTTCAGTGAGTTCTTTGGAGTGACGGCTGGCTTAGACTCCTGTGATCTACCCCTCCTGCCCCCCATGCCAAATGTCTTTAAAGTGACTTTGAATTAACTAAAAAGAGCTCAAGTTTCATCTGAATGACTAGTAAACAACTGCGCTATCCTCTCGCACTTCTGCTTACTGTCTACAGGGAGTCCCGAGAGGGTCCCTGCGGGGAAAGTGCTGGGATTGAGACTTCAATAAACTGGGTGCTGGAAGAGGCCCCTCCGCCCCCAGGGTTGTCTCTTCCCACGGAAGCTCCAGTGGCTGAGGGGCTGTTGTCGCTTTCTGAGGGTGGGCCAAAGGCTGCCACTCCGGACTCCGGAAGATCCCTCACAAAGGGGCCTCTGATCTTCTCTGGCGGCGCTGTCCCTTTGCCATTGGCTCTCCTGCTGTTTTCTGATCCTGCTAGTTTCAACTCAGTTACTCTCTTCTGCTGATGGTGGAACTCCTGAATTCACCCCTTTCTCTGCAACCAACCTAGAGATAATGGAAACCTTCACTAATGCCCACCTGGAGATAACCTATCCATTGTTCATTTTGATGTACCCTTGAACAAGGCTGGGCATTGGGGCACCCACCCTCCAGCAGTTGAAAATCCGTGTCTACCAGAGTTGGCCCCCTTTCCAGTGGTTCCCTCTATACCTGCTTTCCTCAACCACCTTCGGAGAGAGGAGTACTGTAGTATTTAATACCGAAAAATTCCAACTATCAGTAGACCCAGCAGTTCAAACTGGTGTCCTTTGAGGGTCAACTGTATTTCCTTCTCATGAATATTGTTTTACAAACTGGAGGCACACAGAGGACACCATTTGGCATCCTTTTCACCTGTGCACTGTAAGTATCTCTCCGGGCTCCTAAAGGTGCAAAGTGTCATTACCATGACTGCTATCCCGAATGTGCTCTCAACATTATATAGTTATTTACTTAACTCTTCTGTTTTTATTGGGAATGTTTGTTGTTTCTAGGTTTTCACAATTATAATGTGAATAAAGAATTATGTGATGAATTCTATACAAAACAAACATTGATTGACAAATGCGTATAGATATGTGCCTGAATTTTGGTTTTGTCTCATAAACAGTTTGAAATGGTTATAACTTATACTTTACTAATAATTCTTAATTTTTAAGAAAAAATAGGAACAAAATAAATACATGAAGATTGCTTTTTAAAAAAATTAAGCACTACAGAAATATATGAAATGAAAGATTGGAGTTAAAATAGTGACTAGATTGTCTACACAGAATTTTTCTTCCTCATTATCTAACAGACTTGAGGGGGAACTTTTTAAAAAAAAATCACTCTTAGCAGTCAAAAAGACATAACCTAACACAATGAACATTTTAAACTGGTGAACAACAGAGGTACAAGACTCAGAGGAAGAGTGGAGAGGGGCAGCCAAGGTGGTTCCAAACACTGCCTCTCCAACACACCTGCCCCAAGAAGCTGCATGATGATAGAAAAACAGCCTGTGAGCGCTTACCACTGTTACTAAAACTGGAGAGAAAATGGGCAATCACTTTATCTCTTCTAACCAGGAGTAGTGAAAATGGCCTCTGCAAAGGCTAGGACATGAACAGGAGCACTAACCTGGGGCCAGAGGACACCTCCAGGCTTAGCTAGTTCCCAAGGTACAGAAAAGAAGATAGAATCCAAGTGGTTAGTTCAATAGGAAACATGAACTGATGGCAGACACAATGGGATGAAAGGCCCTGATTTACCAGCGGATATTATAGGAAATGCAATGTCTGGATGAGATGCTCAAGCTTGAGCAAGATGAAAGCAAGCCACATGACCACTATGCAAAATCACTGCAGCGAAATAACAGTGTAAGTGTAAATTGAATTGTGGGTAAAGAGTTTTCATTCTGCTGATGAAAAAAGTTCTGGTGATGGACAGTGCTGATGGTCGCACAAAAATGTGAGTGTACTTAATGTCACTGACATGTTCACTTAAAAACTGTTAAAATGGTAAATTTCATGTTATATATATTTTACCACAATTTTTAAAAATTAAAGGAGGGAGGTTAGAAAGGAATATGGTCTATCAAATACAAGGAAACCATAACTCAAGAAACAGAAAGAAATCCCTGTCAATTGGTTTTGCTGAGAATCACTTAATAAGAATGTGAATTCTATAAAACCAGAGCTTATAGATAAAAAATTACAGTGAAAGAGTGAGCTGAATACGAGATTTCACTCCTAATACAACAGATCAAGTATCCAAACAACACACTTATGTAGTAAATAGAAATAGTAAGGGTCAGGATAGATAGAGCTGAAAATTGATTTGTCTTCATAGAGAAAAAAACTGAGATAATCAGTTAATGCAGATAAAAATTAAGATTATAACATTATAGGGAAGCTGCTAGGTGTGAAAGATATTCAGATCATCTAAAATAAAGACTACTGGTGCCTCTGAAGTACAGAGTTCAAAAATAAGAAGACCATATATTTGATGATTTAAGAGGTTTTCCTTAAAATAAATAATTGAAGTTGCAGATTGAAACTGGAGCACAGTGTATCCCAGAAAAAAAGAAAAAAACTGATGCAGAAAGCTTACATATCCAAAGTCGGAGGGAGGGTATAGCTCAAGTGGTAGACCCATGCTTAGCATGCATGGGTCCTGGGTTCAATCCCCAGTACCTCCTCCAAGAATAAATAAATAAACCTATTTACCTCGCCCCACCATGTCAAAGATACATTTATTTGAAGTGCAGTAATTCCTCCAGTTTTGTTTTGGTTTTTTTCTTCTATGAAGTTCAAGTAAAATTAAATGAACAACTTTGGTCAAAATAGCATTTGTATGATTCCATTTTGATAAAACTACTTCTATTTATTTTTCTACCCATCTATTCTTATAGTTGTAAAGAAAGATGCCTGAAATAATGTTTGTCCATGTTTCAGCAGTGATAATTTCTGGGTAGGAGGTTTTCAGGAGATTGGTTTTTACTTTTTTATTTGTGATTTCTAAATCATTTTAGTTATTTATTATGAGATATATCTTTTTTTAAATATAATGATTTTTCTTTAAGCATACACGTGAGCGCGCACACACATACAGAGGAAACAAATGCTTCAAAGGTTTATAGTGATTAATTCAAGTGAAAGAAACATGGTGATTGGATAATATTTTCCCTGTTTACTTTTCTGCATTTTTAAGACATAGTATAAAACGATTTGGAAAGTGAAATTTGCATCTATTCCCATCCCAGCTTCTTGTGTATTTTTTCGCTCTGGATATGTATGAGATGCTTCACAGATCTTAGGGAACTTCCCTGACAGCACCTGGAAATCTACCACATTCTTCTTAATGGCTACATCATAGTCTATTGTACGAATGTATGATAAAAAAAATTTTTTAAGAGGAGCTATTTTATTTATTTATTTATTTTTAATGGAGGTACTGGGGATTGAACCCAGGACCTCATGCATGCTAGGCATGTGGGCTACCACTGAGCTATATGTACCTCCCATGATTTAAAATTTTTGATGGATATTTATAGAGTGTCCATTTTTCTCTCACAAAATGGAGATTATTGTAACATTTCTTTGTGTACTTTATGAATATATCTTTCGGTTTTTTATTTTTAATATATTTTTATTGAAGTATAGTCAGTTTACAATGTTGTGTCAATTCCTGTTGTACAGCGTAATGATGACTGTATCTTTAGTTTAAATTCCTAGTGGAAGAATTGCTGGGTCGATAGGTATGTGCTTTACATTTTGTTTGGACAATTTTGTATGTTTTTCCAAATTATTTTATCTTCTAGCTTATGTTCTTTTTTATCTAAGAAATATATATGTAAATATTTATATCTTCAATATTATATATAATTAACAAAATTATATATTAAGTTTAACAAATATATAAATAACAAAACTGTCATGTACTCCAAAACTTTTATCATAAAAAGCAACATTTCCCTGTCCCTCCTCTTATAGGCAAAGCACTTTAACTAGTTTTAATACTTTCTTATGGTAGCTATCTCCATAAGTCTATAAAAAATATCTAGAAGCTTATCCTACTATTTCTTAATTTATCAGCTTTAAACATCTTTCTATAGCAGATAAGGATTTAACACTCTTGCAGGATTCTTTTCATGGTTATATCACTGTTTTTTGTTAAATCAATAAGGTACGCATTGGTATAGTTATGTAAATATTGTCCACTGCCAAAATCAAATAGTGTACTACAAGTATAGTTCCTGCCTTGGAGAGATTTTGTTTTTTCCCTGGGGTGTCTAATTACCATTCCCTCTTCCCTGGCCCCTTCCTGGTTCTTTTTTCTTGAGCTCAGGTGAGAATTGGGTTAATGGTGATCCTTGATCCAGGACACAGTTTCAATATTGGTTCTTAGAAGACCCTGTGGATATATCTTCTTACCTATCCTTGAATAAGATATAGATGTAGTTCTCCACTTATTTGTATTCAGTCAAGCTCGCTTTTATCCCCATGGCCTTCCATCTTTCTCTAGCCCAGGCTGATTACATCTTAAGTAAATTGAATAAGTATTGTCTAAGGGAATAAAGGAAAAAGAGTTTTGACAAATTCACAAACTTTCACTTTTATGCTCTCATAAAACTAGGTCTATTTTTTAATATTTTTTTGCTCACTAAGAGCAATAAAAGAGAACTTTACTTATGGCAAAAAGAATGTTTTATAAAATAAAGAAACATCATGTGTTTTCAAGAGGTCATGTTTATGGTGAGATGAACAGTCTGTTTTACATGTAAGCACACCCCACTTTGCAGAGAGCAACACCAGAAGAAAACAGGGCTAACAATTATTAAATATCTATTAATTATTGAGAAGAGAAGTTTATCTTATTTCATCCTCCAACAATTTTATATGTTATTTGCTTACTCTATAAGTTGCAAGGTTAAATAACCCACCCAGGTCCACACAGTTAGTGGTGGAATTAAGTCAAGCCCAGGTCTGACTCCACAGCTCACGGTCTCCACACGCTAGCTGCTTTCTGATCTCTCCTCACTAACCCTTACTGGCTGTATTGTATTTGTTTTTTCTCTTAGTGGACGAGTGTTCATCTGACTACACAGTTATGCTTCCCGTGATTGGGGCCATCGTGCTTGGGCTCCTCGCTGTGGGTTTGATTGTCTATGGAATCCGCCTAAGGCGTGAATCATCTGGATACCAGAGAATCTAACCGCTGCCAGGGGAAAAGAAAAACATGGAGTTTAGAGAATTCTTTCATCGTTTCCTGGATGTTGAGGACTTCCCTTAGTGTGGTTCCTTCCAACAGTGTAAACCACCATCTTTCACAGAAACCAAATCATTTCTGATTTAAGTTCAAGCAGCATACCAATTTCTAAATATTTTTTGTTCGTCTTACAAAATATCTAGTGTGCTGTTTAAAAATATGTTCTAGTTTCCTTGAAAATATTTTAACCAAAGTCAACATTTGAGATACATTAACATAATGTATGTAAAATGGTATATACTCCAAATTACAGTCCAAAGCATCAATTGTAATTAACGCTACTTGTGTTCACATTGGGGGTTTTATTTTATCCTTAACGTTCTCCATTTTTAAAAATGCTTCTGCTTTGTCTATAAAATGGATTTTCAATGCTTTTACTATCCATGTTTTATATGATGTACATTTGCTTGGCAATTGATTTACCTCCTTTTCCACTTTGTTTTCTAAAAAGCATCAAAAAGAACAACATATCACAAGTTGTCTAGGTTTTTAATGTGACACCAGGAGGAATAAATCAGCTTATGTTTTTATCTTGGTGACTCCTGCTCCAGAATCACTAAAGACTAAGAACTAGGTGGCTACGGACAACAGAATAAGCATGAAACAATAATAATGGCCCTTCAATATTGACCACATATGTGCCCGACACTAGGTTAAGCACTTTATATACATCTCATTTAACTTTCACAACTTACATATGAGTAAACTCAGACTTAAGGAAATTAGTCACTCAAATGTCATCCAGCTCACAAATGACAGAGCCAGAATTTGAATTACTTTTGGTCTGGTACCAAGGACTCTGGTCTTTTCCACTACAGCAAGGGGCCTCCAAAAACAATGACTCTAAGTGCTGCCTGAAGCCTCACACCGGCATATGCTCCCTTCTTAAAGAGGAAATGATTTTGTCCAGAATCATGAGAGATTAGGGTCCATGAAAGGAGGGCTTAATGGAAAATGAAATAGCCTGTCTTTATAAAGTGCTACACTCCCTTGAAAGAAACTGAGGGGCTGTATAAAATACTCATTTCTCATTCTTATGGGATTGTTAAATTGTGATTCTAAGGACAAAGGAATGTAGTAAACTTCTCAAGGTATTTTTTTATTTCTTTGATAGTAGAGAAATCTAACTGCTAACCAATTCTTCTTTCTTGAATGTAGATCCCCCTCTTGTGGTAATTTGCCTCTTCTGCAGTCTATAGCCACATTTTCTACTCTAGTTCACTTTATTCTGTGGAGCAGCCTGTTAAGACTTTTATTCCTCCTTGTTTTTACTACAAAAAAAAAAAAAAGGAACTAAGTCAGGATATTAACAGAAAAGACCACACACCCCTATCATTTTTTATTAAAGGAATAATTGAAATCACCCTAGAGAACATATTGACTTCCCTGAGTTGTTCTCTTAGGGCTCAATAGGGTTGGCAAGGTCCTAACTTTAGTCTTAATAGAATAGTGAATTGTTTTAAAAGTTCTGTTATTAAAAATTTATTTTGGAGATTTGTTTATGTCATTCATTTTTTATAATTTGTGTTACTAAAATTTTGTTGACAATTAGTGGAGGTTGTTGCTTGAATCAAATCAAGTTATCTTCCTATAAACAATTTATTTTGTTCTAGTCTCCATTGCCACATTGTTAATAGGCAGGAAGACCTATTTGAGAGAAACTGAATTTCTGAGAAGATAAACCACATTAAAGTTACAAATTAAAATTCTCAACTCTTAGTCCAGGCTACCTGACTGGATTACTGGTTTATTTAAGTGCTGCCACAATGTATCCATTCATTCATTCATTCACTCAACCAGCGTCAATTAAGGACTTTCCCAAATGCCAAGCATTCTGGTAGGGGCTGAGCTAAGTAAGAAGTTATGTATTAGTTATCTATTGCTATGGGACAAATTACCTCAAGACTTAGCAGCTTAAAACAACAAATGTTTATTATTCTCACACAGTTTCTGAGGGTCAGAAATCTGGGAACAGCTTAGCTGGATGGTTCTGGCTCAAGGTCTGTTACCAAGTGGCACTTCAGCTGTTGGCCAGAGCTGCAGTCATCTGAAGGGTCAACTGGGGCTGAAGATTCTGCTTCCAAGTTCACACCAGATGGCATATTCATAGGGATGCTTACAACATGGCAGCTGGCTTTCGCCAGGGCAAATGATCTGAAGGAGACTGACCACCTAATCATAGAAGTGACAATATCATCATTCCTGCTGTATTCCAGTGGTCACACCGACCATCCCTGGTACAAAGTAAGAATGAAGACCAGGAGAGGTGGAAGTCAAAGGAGGCCATCCTGATGCTGTCTATCCCACATCCACTGTCAAAGTGGAATTACTGGTTTGCTTTTTGGAGGAAACTCAGGTATGTAAATTCCAGTACATACACTAAGGAAAATAGTTTAATAGGAAACTGTGAAAGGGTAATGGGAGTAGGGCCCATTCTAGCCTGCTTCCAACTCTGCCCTAGGTGTAGCCCTTACCTGGGAGAGAGCCTCTCAACTCCTGGACCAGGAACTGCTCAGCTGACTTGCCTCTCCATGAAGCCTGGTTGTTGGCCCATGGTTCTATGACATTTATTTATAGCTTTGCCTCAGGAATTTGTTAACTCTCCTGTCCTCTGTCATAATCCAAAGAGATCTAGACCACACAGACATCCCATGGGATCTCACACTGAACCGCTACCTTGACAACATCATGTTAATTAGACAGGACAAGCACGAAGCAGTTATTATGCCGCAGGCCTTGGTTAGACACGTGTTCCAGGAGGTAGGAGACAAACCCTAGGAAGATCCAGGGATTGACTACTTCAGTCAAGTACTCAGTGGATCAAGGGCATGCCAGAATATCCCTTCCAAAATAAAACACAGATGTTTTGCATCTTGCATCTTTTCCACAAAGAAGGAAGCACAGAGCCAGGTAGGCCTCTTTAGGTTCTGGAGGCAACATTCTACAGCTGGGAAAATTCCTCTGGCTTATTTACCAGGTGACATAAAAATCTACCGGTTTTGAGTGGGACCGGAGCAGGAAAGGGCAGTGCAACTCTAGGCCACAATGCAATCAGCCCTGCTGCTTGAGTGGTACAATCAGATGGACCTTATAGTGTTGGAGGTCTCAGTAGTGGGAAAAGGTACGATACGGAATTCTTGGCAAACTCTAGTGGTAGAATCATAACACAGGCCCCAGGCATTCTGGAAAAAGGCTAAGGCCATGCCATTTGCAGCAGAGAAATATATGCCCTTTGAGAAACAGCTTTTGGTGTATTACTGGGTCCTGGAACCTTGAACTTGGGACGCTAAGTGACCATACATCCAGAACTGACCACTTTTTTTTCCCTGGCATACAGCATAGTGAGTCAGTTATCCGTATATATTCCTTTTCATATTCTGTTTTATTATAGGCTATCACAGGGTATTGAATATAGTTCCCTGTGCTATATAGTGGGACCTTGCTGTTCATCTATTTTATATGTACATGTATATGTGCAAATCCCAAACTCTGAATTCAACCCTCTATCCTCTGTCTCCCCACTGGCAACCACAATTTTGTTTTCCATGTCTGGGAGTCAGTTTCTGTTTGTAAATAAGTTCATTTGCCTAATTTTTTAAGATTCCATATATAAGTGATATCATACAATAATTTTCTCTTTCTGGCTTACTTCGCTTAGAATTGACCACTTCATTTACTTCACAGAGTTGACCACTTTTGAGCTAGATTCTGTCAAATCCACTAAGTAATATGGTTGGATGGGTCTAGCAGTAATCAGTTGCAAAATAGAACTGGTATGGAAATGACATGCCCAGGATCAAGCCCAGTTTACTCTGTTCTTTTCTATGTGTATGTTTTTGCTGTGCAGATTTTTAAAAATTATATAGTTGAATTTATCAGTTCTTTTTCTGTTTCAGTTTCTGAGTATTGTGTTATACTTAGAAAATCCTTTCCTCCTTTAAGATATCCCTTGATGCTTTCTAGCACTTTTATGCTTTCGTTTTCTATATTTAATCTTTTATCCATTCAGGACTTATTTTGGTAAGTATGAGGAGTAAGTAGGGGGTCAACTTATTTTTTCCCCAGAGTGCTTGCCGTTTTCCCCAATAACACTTCTTGAATATTGAGTATTAAAATATAGAATGAATGTTGAATTTTATCAAAGACCTAAAAGCATGTATGAACATGATATAATTTTTTTCTTTTAAACTACTAATAAGATTAATTACTTATATTAATATTGAACCTTCTTACATTTCTTGAATAAAACTTAGTCATGGTGTATTACTCTTTCCATGTTACTAGATACTTTTTGAATAATATATTTGGGATTTTCCATTAATACTTGTAAATGAAGAAATTGAACTATAGTGTGTGTGTGTGTATATATACGCTACCTTTGCTAGATTTTGGTAGTCATGTTATGATCATTTAATGGAAATATTTTGGAAGACTTCCAGTTTTTTTCTGTGCTCTGCAACAGAATTAATACATTGGAATCAACTGCTTTTGGTGGAATTTCCTTGTGAGACAAGGTGGGGCACGTGGTTTGGAGGTGGAGGTGAAGGTAGAATTGAAGGTAGTGAGAGAGATAAGTCTTTGACAATAACATTCTCTAGTTCTTTTATGGTAACTGAGTAGATTTTCTATCTCAAGATCTAGTTGGGTAAATTGTATTTTCTTGTCTTGAACATCATCCATTTCATCAAGGTCATCAAAGTTTATTCACTTACAGTGAGAAAAATAGTCTTACAAATTTATATTTTTTTCTATACCTGTAACTTTTCTCCACTTATTTTTTTTTTAATTATAGCAAGTGTGCATTTCTCCCCTTTACTTCTGATTAACTATTTTTTTTTGGCCTTACCTTCTGAACCTCTGGATTTATTGGTGCTTTGATACTAGTTCTCTTAATTCATTAATTTTCATCTTTAATAATTTCTTAATTAAAAAATTTAATTTCCTTGTGTTTTTTTTCTAATCCTTGAATTGGAGGCTTAATTTACTTTCAATACGAATCTTCCTGTAAACCCTGCTTTAGTTATATGAAGTCAGCATTTATACGTAGTGTTTTCAGTACTTTTATTTCCTAGATATTCTGCAATTCAGTTTTGACTTCCTCCCCCTCTCCCCGCCCCCACAGACAATGAAAACATTTTTTAAAAATCTCGGGTGGTTTTAAATTATACTTTAGTTATTTATTTTATTTTATCCATTCTTGAAACCACTATTAATCTTGCTCTCCACCCTAAATGACTTTTCCCCATGACTCCGCCTCCCCGGCTTCCTGGTAGCTTTAATGATAATGGTCAGGAGGAGAATTCCAGAACGTAGGAACGCCGGCGCCAAGGGGAAAAACAGTGATCCGGGTCTCAAGGAGGCTGAGGGCGTAGCCGACCCCTCCTCGAGTTGGCGCAAGGGGCGGAGGAAGCTGAGACTACACCACCCGATTGGCCAATCGCAGCCATCGAAGCCCTGCTCTGTTCTTTGATTGGTTTTGGTGGCGACGCCCCTGCCACGCTGCGGTCCGCCTATTGCTCAGCTTTGACCTGGACGGTGGCCCGCGGAGGACAATAGGCTTGCGGAGCGGAGGCAAGGTGTAGTGAGTGAGTCGCAGGTGCTGTAACTACGAGTCCGAGGGCGGCCGGGCTGCAGGGACATGGCAGCTGCCTCTGTGGTGTCGGTGCTGCTCTTGGCGGCGGAGAGGAGCCGGTGGCAGCGAGTCCCAAGTTTGCTGCTGCTGCCCAGGTAACGGCGGGTGGAGGGGCGGTGGATAAGTGTCGGGGGCCGGGGGTGAATGGACTCGTGCACTCTTTGGGAGGCGAGGCGGAGTGGAGGGTCGAGGAGCGGAGGGGAGGACGGTAGGAAAACTCCGACCCATTGCCGGGGGCCCTGCTTTCATACTCGGCGTCGGGAGGAAGGCGCACTCAGCCCTTCCCTTTCTTCTCCCTGCCACACGTCCACCCTTAAGCCCTCTGCCCGTTTGTGAGGAGTGGGTGAGGGGTGAAGCTGGGCCTGTCGTCTCCGTGCTCCCCTCGCCACAGGAGCAAGGATAACGCTTGTGCAGCTGCTAACCATTAGCATTGTGCTTTCACCGCATTCCCTCTGTGGGGAGTGTTGCTGTAATCCCGGTTCTGGTGAATGAAGTTCGAAGGGGTCGTCGGTTTGCCCTTGTTTACACTAGTTGTAAGAAATGGCGCCAGGATGCCCTCAGGCCCTTTTAGGTTCGGTGGAAGACTCTTGGAGTACTTTCTCTTTGCTGAAATGAATCAAGTTAACAAAACAAGTTTGTCTTCCATAGGGCTGAGAGGTTGTTTTGTCATAAGCTTTGTTGTACACAAGTTTGAACAAAGCTATCAGATGACGCACTCTAGCTAACCTGACTCCAGTTTCAAAATTTAAGCTTTGATGACAGTAACTTTGGTAGTGAAGACACCCTCAGGTAGCAGGTTTCTTTAGCTTTCTTTGTCTCCCCCTCCTCCATCATTCCAGAAAAATTCTGTAGCTTAGTGCTGAAGCGCACAGACTCTGCAGTCAGAAGGCAGGGGTCTCGTCTTTGTACTCACTAGATGTGTTAGAGCAACATTGGGCAAGTTGAGCAAGTTACTTAATATCTCTGTTCTTTAGTTTCTTTACCTAGGGGGAGGTGATGATACAATCCTTTGAAGAGATAACACTAGTACCTTGGATTGTGCGAATTAAATGAATTAATACATGTAAAGAGGCTTAAACGGAATTTGGTGCATATGAATCAGTCCATAGATACAGCCTTTGTAAACTCAACCATTTAGATCAAGCTTTTTGTTTGCTTTTATTTTCCATAAGTTATTGTAGATGTATGTAAATTTCCAGGGACTTAATTGTGGGACTAGTCCCAGAACAAAAATAAGACAGTTGGTGAAAGTGGTGTTAGTGCTCTTCTCTTTTTCCTGATATTTCTTAAGTTTCCAGGTCTCTTCAGATTATTAAACAGACCCATTTTCTCTCACTTCCCTCCCCCTCTCAAATCTTAGCTGTTATGTATAGAACTATTCTCAAGTATTGTCACCCTGGAAAATTGTTAATGGCATGTAGAATTAAAAATCTTATTGGTATATAGAGTGTTTACATGTCTTTTTATGTCATGATTCTCTAGTCACTCAGAAAAGAAATCTGTGTAGTGGTGGAATTTTTAAAATGAGGATAAACTGGTATAGAAATTTTTGAATCAGGGTGGAATTATCTCATGGAAGCAACTGCTTCATATTGTTTTTTAAGCCATTGTTTTACATTGTAGTTTAGATAATGGTGGAAAATGGAAAAGACCAATCAGAACATCTTTAGAATAGAAGATTATAGTTAAGTTGGGGGGGGTGCGCGCGCGCGTGTGCACACACATGTGGTTGTCTGTCGGTCGTCACTGGAAAATGGCAGAAGAGAAATTTAGTTCAACAGTGTTCTTAACACTTAATCAGAGGCTTAAGCTGGATTTACCAAGAAGTAGTCATTTTCTAGACACATTGACCAGAACAGTCCTTGAATCTATCAGTAAACCTATCAAAGATTGTGATAGGAAGATGCTGTGATTCCCCCTCCCCTTGAAGATCAAGAAAGTGAGATCAGTTGATTGGAAAGATGTGGGTAAACAGTAGCCTTCTGAGAAAACCATCTTGTAGAGCTCAAGTATCAAAGCTGTGGGTCTTTTCACAAGCCCTTGGTGGATGTCAACATCTGGTTCAGTGTGCATCATGGGGCTGTGAGTGTATGATCCACTCTGGTGATCTGGCCTCCTACATCTCTACTCCAGTGAAAGGCTAGTTCATTCAGCTACACAGTTTTATATATATAGTATATATATATATAGGACACATACATAATTACATTACAGTACCTAATATACATTGTGCTTTTTATGACCTGCTTTGTAAAGGGTTTAAAATGGTTAGTTCTTTGTAACTATAGTTTTGTCATATCTTCCAGTTACGGACAGAAAAGACTAAGGTAAAATTGCTTCTGCAATTTGTTGATTTGTCGGTGAATTTGTTTTCTGAAAACTGGGTTCATCTTTTGGTGGATGTTGAGCCAATAGACAAACCAAGCCAGAGATCGGGAGAAGGATTATTATTTGCAAGAAGTAAGGAGAACACTGTGGATCTTAACCCAAAGCAGTGTCTCCCAGAACAGCAAAATTGGGGAAGTTTGAAGCTAAGGGTGCTTGCATAGTCATGAAGGGGCTTGAACTGAGGAGAATTCAGCATAGAATTGGGACAAAGGTCAACAGAGTCCCAATAGTCTTGGTTGATTGAAGTCAGGAGAGTCAACACTCAGGAGAATCAACATCACCAATCCCTGTTCCTCCTGGATAGGGGCCTTAGTTCCTGCAGAAACTCAAGAATATACTACTATGTTTACCCCTTGAGGAGGAACTAGGACTCTGCTCTGTTGCTGCACTACTGTTTGACTGCCTTTTCTCTGTTCCCGCATTCTAACGGGACTTAAAAATTGTTTCTAGACCTTAATGAACTTCTGCCTGGTTAAGACACCTCACACAAGTCGTTATGCTTCCTGCTTCTCCATTTCTTATTTATACAAGAATTCAGAGTAAAATTGTATACTTTTAAAACTGAGGAGTATCTTCAAGATCACCACTTACAATCTCCTCCTATCTATGTGAGGACACTGAAGCCTGAGCTGTAAAGCGAAAATTAGTTCTTGAGAGAGTAGAAAAACCTTGTTAGCAGATGTTAGCAGAGTTAGTGGCTCTCCAAAGCTCAACCCCTTCTACAAAATCTTATTCCTTAATATTTATGTTTTCACATTAGAGGGCCATAATGGAAAAAAGATTGAGAAATGCTGATGTCAAGTGACTTGTCTGGGGTCACCAGCAGCTGGTTGGTGGGGCCCCTCCAGCCCCACACCCAGCATTCTTTCTGCTCCCCTTGCTCGGCTCTTTCCCTTTACTTCTCTGAGCTTAATTGTTCAGACCTGTGTTATCAGAGAGGTGAATTAGATCAGTATTTTTCAGATTATAGTTTGACCAAGATTTTATTTAATAAAATGGAATAGAACAGAAACTGAAAATGCAGAGGAAGTTTTCTTTCTTGAAACTTCTGTGTGTACCAGGTTGTGAAGTCAGACATAGTTTTTACTTCAGATTCTAGTCAAAAAAAGTTTGAAAAAGCTGAACTAGATGATCTTAAAGTGCCTGGGCTTTCTACTTGTCTCTGAGTCCATTGCCAGGGTCAGCTGCCAACCCAGGAGCAAGCATGTGAGGTGATCAAGGACAAGTTACAGCCAGAACTGTAACTTCTGATTTCTAGGTTAGTTTCTTCCCACACAGAGAATCTTATTGAATCACTTTGTGGGTTTAAGGTTTAACTAAGGTCGTATCTGGACTTGGTTTCAAGTTTTTAAAAATTGAGATTCTTTTGAAAAAACAATGATAGCTCTTACATGTCCTGTTTAATTATTACTCCATTTGGATTCTTTTTATAGTGGATGGACTTGGAAGCAAAGAACCATGAAGTATGCAACATCCACAGGTACTGACAGTCTGTCCTATTTGGCTTTGCTTCAGACTGTGAGTAATGAAGGGAAATGTGTAATTATTTAATGTGTGCTTAGTAGAATTAATTTTTATATACTTTTGAAGTTTTGGATTTTCATGATCATTTTCTTTCTTTCTTTTTTTTTAAATTAATTTGGGGAGGGGGATGATTAGGTTTATATATTTATTTGCTTTTAGAGGAGGTACGGGAGATTGAACCCAGGACCTCATGCATGCTAAACATGTGCTCTACTACTTGAGCTATACCTTCCCCACCATGAGCATTTTCTTAGTAAGTATTGTGTCATGGTTTTCACCTTTTATGTCAGATCTCTTGCTGTGAGTCTGAAATACATAGGGAAATAGTTGAGGACATCATATTTGTGTTGTTACTTGTTTGGCTCTCTTTAGTGCATTGAATTGGAAAAGCATAAATATGATGGTCTAAATCAGTGCTTTGAAACAGTTCTTTCAAGTAGCAGAACTTTCTTTTTTTTTTTCAAATAAAATTTTATATGGAGTTCCCAGCTATAAACACATAAAAGTGTAATTTCTGGTTGATTTGAGTATAGCCCTTCCCCCAACACATGCATGCATGCATACTTCATCCCAGCAGCCCCTGTGACAACCTGGGCTCTATTAATCCCTATTGGAAAACATTGTTTTAAATTATATGAAAATTTATTTTTGGAGAAAAATAAATGTTATAAACTGTCAAAGACATTTATTTGATGTGTGATGATGGCAATGTATTTTATGCAGCTTGTCATATAACACTGGTGCTGGTGAACTGGTGCAGTACTGGCTTATATTGCAAGAGAACCACACGCCCTGTGTGCAGAGGGATAGAGGCAGTGGAGCAGAGTGACAGACAGCTCACATTCTGGAGTGAAGCTAACGTGGGTTCAAATCATGGATCTACCATTTCTTTTAGCTGTAATTTCAGGAAAGCGGTATCTCTTTTGATCTTAATTTCTTCATTTAAAAAATTGAGATAATAATAATAGTATCTACTTCGTAGGATTATTGTGAGAATTTAAGTTCAGATTGAGTCTTTAGCAGAGGACCTGAGGCATAGAAAGTACTTATTAAAGTATAGCTATTATTAATTATGATGGGTTTTTTTAACTATTATAATTTGATCTTTGATACAACAAAGCGTCTTTTAATTTTATTTTAAATTGAAAAAGCTGAATAATTTAAGAATTTATGTTAATAAGAGTATCTTGATTTCATGACTTCTAAAGGCTTATTAACAGCTCTCCCTTATCTGATCATACTGATGTTGATTTTAAATTGAGGTCAGAGTGGAATGCAAAGAAGATAGCTTGGTTTACCCTGAGAAACAACCTACAATAAGAGGAAAAGACACTATAAGTTAAAGGTATAACTTAACCTTACACAGCAACATCTACAAATACTGGACATTGAAAAGAAATGCACCAATATTAGCTAAAATGGTTATTGGAGGCTTCATTATGCTGATTTTACCAAATAGCTATGTCTATCAAATATCATAGAATATTTACAGTTGGCCCTCCAGTATCTGTGGGTTCCACATCTGTGGATTCAACCAGCCATGGATCACAAATATTCGGGAAAAAAAATTCCCGGAAAGTTTCCAAAAGCAAAGCTTGAACTTGCTGTGCACTGGCAACTATTTACACATCATTTACATTGTACTTAAAACTACTTATGTAGCATTTACACTGTATTAGGTACTATAAGTAATCTAGAGATGATTTAAAGTAAATGGGAGGGTGTAGGGTAGGTTATGCAAATGGTAGGGACTACACCCTTTTATATAAGGGATTTAAGTGTCTGTGGGTTTTGGTGTCCATGGGGTTCCTGGAGCCAATCCCCCATGGATACAGAGGGCCAACTATATTTCGCATTCTCATTCCTTGTTCCCCAGTAACACTTGTATATCATTTTCATGATATTTTAAACAGGACGAAATATTAACAAGATCCTCATTGCAAACAGAGGAGAAATTGCCTGCCGGGTGATACGAACAGCCAAAAAAATGGGTGTACAGTCTGTGGCAGTTTATAGTGAGGCAGACAGGAATTCCATGCATGTAGACATGGTAAGTTGTTAAAAACTGGAAGTCAAATTTTTTAAGTGATTGTATTCATTTATTGTGTCAGTATTTTTACTTCTTTGTTGACAGTTTGTATTTGCTAGTGTTAACGGTATTTAAGTAGTTAAGTTGAAATTGCTAATAATTATCCTGGGAACCTTTTCAAACATAACACCGGTGGAACTAAATAGTGTGCTTAGTGGTGTAGTTAACTTACAGGCAAGGTCCTGTCTTGTCAAGGTTTGGTTACAACAGTTTAGAGAACGTGGGTGACCCACAGGTCACATTGTGAGTGGTGTCTATCTAGATCCCGAAGTATCAGAAGAATGGAGGTCAGTTTAGCAACTACCACTTACTGGCCAAAGGATCTTAGATAGGTCACTTAATGTTTCTGAGTCTTGACTTAACTGTAAAATTATAACTGAAAGGACCCTACTCTTCTGAGGTTTGTAAGTGTTACCCATTGTTACTAACTGTTAACCACCAGACAGAACCCAGCCATGGGTGAATTCAGCTACTGGCCTTCTTTATGGCTGCAGCAAGACTCCAGGCACCGACATAAATTCCTTGTGGCAGCTTCCTGGGCTTTCCGCACTGTACAGCAGTCCCCTGCCACTCTCTAGCCACTTTTCTCTTAAATTCTGTGCAGTGACCATCTCAAACCTGTTTTGCTCCATTCCAACCTGTGATTCTCCCTCTGCCCTCTCCTCTCAGCAGGTGATCTTGAACACAGAGCTGAGCTCCCTGCCACAGAATCTGCTCGCTTGCATCTTCATGTATCATCTTCCCATCCAGGGCTGGTTGTCTTCCTGGGCTGTGGAGTCCTCCTCTCCCCTTTTAAGAAACTTCCATTTTCTTCTTTTTTTCACGTATACGCTCACTCTAAATCATACCATGCACTCCTGTGGCTTTTCTAAAAACTTGCAAATGTCTATTTCTAGCTCAGACTTTCTGTTTGAATGTGGTACACGGCTGTGCAACCTTGGGCTCAGCATCTCCAGATGGATGTGTCACAGATGCCAAACCACCATGTCTGAAAGTGAGCCTTTCATCTGTACTGAACCTGCTTTTCTTGCAGACTTCCCTAACCCAGAACATCACCGCTCATAAAAATAATAATGCTAGAGATCTGGAAGTCTCTGAACATCTCCCCTCCTCCTCCTGGTTCTACCCTCTCCCCCATCTAGACAGTTGCCAAATGCTGTTAATTCTGCTTCCCAAACATCTTCCATTTCTTTCTGCCCTCCACTGCCTGCACCTTAACTCAAGCCATTATCATCTTTGCCTGGTCTGATGCTGTAGCCTCCTACACAGTCTCCCTGCTTTTACTCTTGACCTCCTCCCACAATATTTTTTACACTTCAGCCAGACTGATGGCTAAAAATCAGTTTCTTCATGTTATCTTCTGCTTTAAATGCTTTAAACCTTTTTATCATCCACCAGACTAGCAGTAATTTGAAAGATGGAAAGTATTTGGTGTTGGTTGATGTAGTTAGAAATTAGTATACTGATGGAAATGTATATTGGTGACAACATTTCAAGGGATGGTTAACCAGGAGCAATTAAAATGTCATGTCTTTCACTGAACCCTGCAAACATTCCTCTAGATCTCTGTCCAGAGACACACTTACACATATGTATACCTAGAAGCATGTACAAGATGCTACCGGCATCCATTTGCCATTACAACTTAAATGTCCGTTACGAGGTACGTGATTAAATGAACTCAGAATAGTGTGGAACATTATGCAATTGTTATAAAAAATGAGGTAGACATATGTGTACTAGCACGGAAAGAGCTGTCAGGACATACTATTAATGAAAAAAACAGTTGCAGAAGATGACTCTAGAGTTTGATCTTATTTGTGTAAAAACAAAAACTAAAACTATTACATGTTTATGCAAATATACATAAATAAATAAGAATATGGATCTGTAAAGTTATGTCCCAAATTGATCATAGAGGTTATATCTGGAAGGGGTTTGGAATGACGGAGAGGGCCAGTGCCAGGGGCTCCTTTGCTTTTGTACTGTTCACATTCTTTAGAATGAGAATAGATTTGTGTTTTGTGAAATTAAAAGTGAAAAAAAAAAGTCAAGACCTTAAACAAGTCTCATTATGTGTCCCCTTGAGAGAAAATCCAAAGCTTTAACCTCCCACAGGGCCCTCTGAAATCTGCATCCCCCGTCTGTCCAGCCACATCTCTGGTCCCTGGCCCCTTGCTCACTGTGCTCCAGCCACACGAGCCTCCTTCAGTCCCTCAAATGGGCCAGGTTTCTTCCCACCCCAGGACCTTCATATGTGTTGTTTTTCCCACCTGGGAGGCTTGCCCCCCTCTCCACTCTGGTTCCCAGCTCCATACCCTCCAGCCATTTGCCTGGCCGAGTCCTGATCATTCTGAATGAGCTCCCTGACTTTCCCTTCAGGCCTTCTGACCAGCCTCTGGCCTGATTGTCTTGCTCTTACCTGCATTTTGTCCTCTGTTTTCCTTTCTTGGCCTTTTACTGATGTACAGGCTCCCACCTCAAAGCATGGCACATAGTGGGCTTTCAGTAAGGCTTTGAATGGATGAAAGACGTTTTCTATGTGGTCTGCTTCAAGGTGTGCTGTGATTTTGTGAAAGTTTTAAGGAACAGTAAAAGATAGTTCACAAATGTATGGGAAGAGTATTATCATACTCTAATAATTACATAAATTTTAGTAAACTTTGTAATTTTCTTGCTGTATACGTCTGTTACATATTTTGTCTCTGTTGTCAAATTGTATATTTTTGGCATTAAATACATTTTTAATAAGGTTATTATCGTTGCTGATAATATTGTGACTAATGCCTGTTGCTTTCTATCCTAAGGCACTTTATTTTACTTTCACTCTGAGTATGTGTTTTGGACATAAAAATTAAGTTTCGGCATCCTCATGCAAAAGACTCTAAACTGACTAATTTTTATAACATCAACATGAGCTGGTGCTTCTTTTTCTAAATTCTACATTGTTCTTGAGGAGCCAGCATTTTTATTTATAATAATAAGATGACCCAGTAGCAGTTCTGTACAGTGTCCTCGTGTATACTAGCTGTGTGGTCTTTTAAGCAAAAAATACTCACTCCTTCAACAGGCAGACGAAGCATATTCCATCGGTCCCGCTCCCTCACAGCAAAGCTACCTTTCTATGGAGAAGATCATTCAAGTGGCCAAGGTCTCTGCTGTGCAGGTAAGAGTTGTGTAGAGGTTTACATTGCAAAAGAAATAAGTTTTATATGATTTACAGAAAATTATTTATTATTTACAGAACTCATTTTCTATTTTCAGCCATTCCCAAGATTTTTACATTGGATTCTGGGGTTGTCATTGTAAACTAGGCATGTCCCTTCTCAGTCCTCAGCCACTTTTACCTTACTGCAGAATCCTGTGCACTTTAGAGCTTTGGCAAGACAGGTGGAGGGAAGGTCTAAATTATAAATATAAATTAAGAGGGAATTCAGCCCTTTTACCTTTAAAACCAGATACTAGGAACATCAGATCCTCTGGGGGATATAGATGGTGTTCTAAATTACCAGGAAAAATAGAATCAAGAAAGAAATCTTTTTTCCTCTTGACTTCCCAGTCTCACTTTAGGATCCTACTCTGGTTTTCCAATATCATAGGCTCAAAACTTTGATGTTATTACATGTCTCCTTCATTCTTCAGAACAAAATAGGAACCAACTTGTGTTGAATCTTTTTTTAAAATGTCTCTGGAAGTTTTTTTAATTATACAGCCAGAATTAATGATCTCTTAATCTGGATTTCTGGTTCTCAGCTGATTTCTCTAAGTCCCTTACCCATCCAATGAATTCTTCATACTCCTGGACAAGTGTTTCTTAAACACTTGTTTCATTACTATCCCCTGCTCTTTTTATTTTTTTATGTATAACTTTGTCCTTTTCTCATCCTATCCCCCAGTAAGTAAATCTTCAGTGGTTGCAGGATGAAGTTCAGACTCTTCAGCCTAGCATTTAAAGAGCTTCCAAAATTTGTCAAAACTCAATTCTCATCGCTGGTTCTTTATTATAGTTACAGTGAACTTTTCTCCATCTTTACACACCATGCTGATTTCTTCTAAGCATTTATATGTTTATATTGTTCCATGTGCCTGAAATGCTCTTTTCCCCCTTCTCTTATCATTTATGCATTTATTTGCCTAGCAAGCATTAACTGATCTGCTTTGTGCCAGATACTAAACATGGATGCAGTGATGTCTAAGACACAGTTCAAACCTTATGAAGGTTCACTCTTGTACATGAGACAGACAGTAAAATTTTATACAAGTAAATAATACAACTAAGAATGTTATAAGTGGTAGGAAAAAATAAACAGGTAAGAGGATAAAGATTGGTTAGGAGATGCTTTTATTTTCATGTATTTATTTTTTTAAATTGAAGTATAGTTGAAGGAGATGCTTTTAAATAGGGTGGTCAGTGGAGGCCTCTCTGAAGAAGTGACAGTTAAACAGAGACCTGCCTGATGAGAGGGAACCAGCTGCGTGGAGAACTGGGAGAGGAAGGTTCAGGCAAATGGGATGGCCAGGACTCTGAGATGAAAGTAAGTTTGGTGTTCAAAGGACAAAAATATTCAGTGTGGATGTAGTGAAGGCAGTGAGGGGCTGTGGCCTTCAGAATCCAGTCAGTGAAACTGAAATGCCAGTAGGTATTTCAGCAGAGGAAATTTAATTTAGGAATTAGTTCTGCCGGTGTTAAGTGTTAGAGGGCTGGAAGGGAAAAAAGTGTTGAAATTACCTAATGATAAAAAACTACAGAAATCAGACACCACCCCTTGGGCTAGGAAGAGATTGGCTGAAGGATCTTCTGCAGCTGTTGCTCGGTTCTCTGTGAAGGGGCGCTACCTGGCTGCAAGGGGCATAATGAGGCTGGTTCTAGAAGTTCTAAAAGAGACTACAGACTGAACTGCTGCCCAGGATGGGAAAGCAGGACGCTTCCCCTGCTTCCCTGTTCCCTACAGTGACCCCTGCTGGCAGAACTTGACAGGAAGCCAGCTGCCAAGAAGGGTAATATGCAGAGCCCGGGCACAAAGTGGTGTGGAAGGTTGGGTTTGGAGCTGGGAAAACCAAATGACACTGGAAGAAAGTGGTAGATGATGAAGCTGAGAGAGAGAGGCAGCACCATTTAGAGCATTATAGGCCTTGGAAAGGAGGCCTCCACTGACCCCTATTTAAAAGCATCTCCTTCAACTATACTTCCATTTTAAAAAATAAATACATGAAAATAAAAGCATCTCCTAACCAATCTTTATCCTCTTACCTGTTTATTTTTTCCTACCACTTATAACATTCTTAGTTGTATTATTTACTTGTATAAAATTTTACTGTCTCTCTCATGTACAAGAGTGAACCTTCATAAGGTTTGAACTGTGTCTTAGACATCACTGCATCCATGTTTAGTAGCTGGCACAAAGCATTTTGCATTTCATTCTAAGTAGCTACTGGAGAATTTTAAGCCGGGAGTGAAGTGATCTGATTTACATTTTAATAAGGTCATTGTGGCTGCTGGTGGGGAGTAGGCCAGTGGGATGGGGTCAAAGGTGGGGCTGATGACAAAGAGAGCAGGCAGAAGAATTAGGAGTCAGTTACAGTAGGCTTGCCCTTCACTGGCATCAGAATTCCTACCTCTTACAGTTTCGTTCAGATATCCCCCACTTACATAGATGTCTCCCCTTTCCTTTACCAATTTTTGATTTCCTATTCCAGTCATTTTAATACTTAATTAGCTATTATCTTGTTTAGTGATTTTAATGCCTATCACAGCTCCTCCTCAATTCCGTTGTGCTTAAGAAAAGAACCCACATCTGAGACTTATTTTCTGTACTTACTACCATCCCAACAAGCTGGTACACGGGGTAATTAATTTGAATTAATGAATATATGCAGTTGTTTTGTATTTATGTTTCTCTGTATCAGTGTTTTCTTCTTTAGAATCAGTTTCTAGACTGAATAATTTAGCAATTAATTTATACACACAGATATTTAAATTTTTGCTTGTTCCTAAATCGTTTTAATTATTGACTGGAGTAAAAGGTCCTTAGGAGGGAAAGGAGATGATAATAATACATAGGCTTTATATATTTCCTTAGGAATCCAGGCACTTTAATTTTCACTTTGTATTTATCTTGTGTTTGAGCTTACATTAAATAATATTATTACCTCCATTCTATAGGTGTAAAACCTAATGCGCAGGGTACGTGATACCCAAAATCATCTAGTCTCACTGCTCAGAGTGTGGTCCATGGCATCATTTGGGAGCTTGGTAGAAAGAAGCAAACTCTTGGGCCTCACTCCAGACCCACTGTTATTTACATTTTTATGCATAATTTGCACTTTTATCAAGATCCCCAGGTGCTTTGAAAGCAAAACTTGTCTCATCCTTGAAAGAGAAAGTATTAAACAAGAGTCTCCTGACTCAGCCTGGCTGAGCAATAGAACTTTATTGCCCTGCATTTTGGGAAAAGGGAAGGTGCTGTTTAATCTGAAATTTCAATTAATTAAAAATAACTTCTTTTAAGCCAGCTAGCTTCCTTATTTTATCATTGCTTCCTCTAATCAGTCTTCTCCTTAGAGGTGAAGATTCTCTCCCTTATAGTGACAGTTCATTAAGACCATTTTTCAATTTAAATAACAACCCTGTAACAAATAAATGATATGCTAATTCTGGGGAATTTTGTCAACTCTGTGCCTGTCTGGATTAGTATTATGTTGTATAGATGCTATAATAACACAAACAATGAGAGAAGAATAAAATAGGTTTCACACATTTTGCCTGTATAGTCAAGATTTGAGTTGGCTTCCAAACATTACAGATAGTGGTTAGGACAAAGGATAAAAGCAAAAAATAAGTAATAGGGGACTATTTTGGGGGAATAGCAGTTGGCATTTAGTCAGAAAACTTAGGCCAAGGAAAGCTACTTTAGTTCTTCCTGACAACCCTGATTGAAAAGGAAATTTGGTGGCTAACAATTTACAAGGCTCTCTAATAAAAGGATACCTGCCAATTAGGGGAGCAAACCTTGCCCTCACTTTGACTTTGAAGAAGAAAAGTATTGATCATTCTAATAAGAAACATTAAATAACATGTGGGTGGTGATTTTGAAATAAGTTTGCCAAAAATGTAGAATTCTTAATGTGGCCTTTGCCATAGGCATTTTTATAGACACTAGAGTAAAACTCACACGTGACCTAAGTTGCTGAGGATTTGTCTGGTAACGTGGCTGTGTTGAGAGACTCTAGGAGGTGTAATAATAGTAAGCATGTTCATTAGGCTAGTTCTCTTGTCAGTTGTCCCAGAGCTTCTCTGGACGGGAGGGAGGTAGTGGTAGTAAGCGCTGCTGACAATGAGAATCAACTTGAAGAGCCTTTTAACAAGGATGCTGGTGTAGTACCTTGGGAAGGGGCCTGAAGTTGCCTGGAGGAGAGCTTTATGCTCTCTGGAATGCTAGTGATGCTTTGTTTCTTGAGCTGAGTGTTGTCTACACACAGGTATTCAGTTTATGAAAACTATGTTTATAGAAGCTGTACACTTACAATATGTACTTTTTTGTATGTATATTATTCTTTAGTGAAAAGTTAAAAAAAAAAAAACTTGTGCCAAGCCTTGCTCAGCCTTTCACTTATCTAGATTAGCTCCTGAACATGAGTGTTTTGTAAAAGTGCTCCAGTTTCTTTTAATGTGCCACAAGGAATGAATAACTTTATTAGAGGCATTTCAAAATCACTGATAAGTAATGAATATAGCAAGTGATTTAACTAAGTGCTGGTAATCTGTGTGATTGACCAAAAGGAAACCCACATGGCATAAGTATCACAGAATGTGGGTAGAAAATTACTGGTAATAAGAATTTGAGGAGTATGACTTGTTCCCTCTGTCATGGGATAGGACACATTTCTGCTCAAAGAGAGAGCCAGTAACAACAACAATAAATTTGTATCTGTGCATATGCTTGAACAAGCATAGAGCAGAATAGATACGAACTAAAAACATGAAAGAATTACTTTGGCAGAGATTGAAGATTAGGAGTTACCAGTTTTCTGTCTTTGCTGTTAAAGGCATATTTGTGCTATGGAATGAACATTCTAAACCCGCTTACAATCCTGTGACCACCAGGGTGAATTGGGAGCTAAATACATGCCTGATGGCTAGGGAATTACCCTGCTGGTAGTAGTAGGATTGTTAGATTTTCTTTTTAGTCCATTCAGATGCTCTAGGATAGTGTGGTTTGGCTATATTAAAGGTGTTCTTCCTAAGAGAAATTAATTAAGCTTCTTGAGGCCATTCCCATGACGTGTTTGAACGTTGTTTTGGTACATAGATAGCTGCTTTTCTTTTCATTATAAAGAGAGTATTAATCTAGTTAATCAGAGTTCTATCGAATTAAGTACCCCAAAAAGGAAGGCTAGCAACAAGCACTTTGAAAATGAAATTAAGGAAACAGTTACATTCACAGTAACATCCATGAAAATCTAATACTTAGTAAAAAAGTTAGCAAAAGCACTTCAAGTCCTATGTACTGGAAACTATAAAACATTGGTGAGAAAAATTAAAGTCTTAAATAAGTTCATAGATATATCATTAGAAGACTCAATATTATTAAGGTGTCAGTTCTTTCCATATTGATCTATAGATTTAATGCAATTTAATGCAGTCTTTGTCAAATCCCAATAAACTTTTTTGGAGGGGTGTAGATTGACAAGCTGATCCTAAAATAGCCAAAGGACCTAGTATATAGTTAAAACAATTTTGAAAAGACTAACAGATTTGTGGGGTTTAGACTCCTGGAATTCAAAATTCACTATAAGGCTGTAGTAACCAGGACAGTATGGTATCAGAAGGATAAATATATATGTCAATGGAGCAGAATAGAAAGTCCCACAATAAACTCACGCATATATGGTCAATTTTTGAATAAAGGTGCTAAAGCAATTCATTGGAGAAAGGACGGCCTTTTCAACAAGTGGTGCTGGAATAATTGCCAAAATAGGCAAATCTATACAGACAGATTAGTGGTTGCCTAGGGCTGGTGATATGTAGGGAATGGGGAATAACTGCTGATAGACATGGAGTTTTCTTTTGGGGGTGATGAAAGCTTACATTATTATATCTTATGTAGTATCTTAGATTATGGTAATGATTGTGCAACTCTGCAAATATACTAAAAATGATTGGATTGAATTATGTCAATAAAGATGTTTTTAAAATCAGTACCACTACACACCCACTACAATGGCAAAAATCAAAAAGACTGATGATACCACATGTTGGCAGGGATGTGGAAGAACTTAGAACCATCATACATAGCTGATGGAAATGCAGAATTGTTTAGCCCCTTTAGAAAACTGGCTAGTTTTAGAAAATTAAATATATACTTACTGTATTTTGATCCAACAGTTGCACTCCTGGGTATTTACCCGAGAGGAATAAAAAATATGTCCACACAGACTTGTCCATGAATGTTCATAACAGCATTATCGTAATAGCCAAAGACTGGGAAAAAATCCAAATGAGTAAAAAAACAAAATGTGGTATATTTACACAATCTGTAAACAGACCTGTTATCTTCATCCATGTTGTGGTATGTATCAGCAATTCATTTTTTTGTGTGTAGGTAAACCACAGAAAATGACTCAAGTTTTTAAGAAGCCAGACACGGACTGTATGATTCCATTTATATGAGATTTCTAAAAAAGGCAAAATTATAGAGACAGCAAGCAGGTCAGTAGTTGCCTGGTTCTGGGAGCAAGGATTAAGCAAATATGCACATGGACACATAGGAACCTTTTCAAGTGTCGAAGTGTTCTAAAACTGGATTGTTATAGTAATAGTTGCACAGTTGTATCAGTTTGCTAAATGCATCAAACTGTAAATGGGTGAGTATTACATTATGTATCGTAAACCATACCTTAAAAAACAGTGTTTAAAAAATCAGAAAGGACTGGGATATAGGCCTGTTTTACTTTGCCTCACATAAATAATATTTGACATTTCATATAAAATCACTAAAATTGAGCTTCAGTTTAAAAGAAACAAAACTCCAAACTCAAATCAGAATGTGATTATCTAGCATCTTACTTAGTTTGTAGCATCATGCTGTTTGCTGTCACTAAGTTGCGGCTTTTTCTATTCACATGAGTCTCCCAGACATCTGAAGCTTATCCCTCTTATTTTGAAATGTTCTTGAACACAACTATTTTGAAAGACAGTTGGATGGTCTTTTTTCTTTTCCATTCCCTTGGTTATAATTACACATACGTAATTATTACTTAAGAACAGAATTGCCCTCAGGACTTACTCCTCATTCAGCCGTCTAAGCCTGTTGTGCTTTTTGTTTCCCTGTTTCCTCCCTTTCTGCTGTTGGCATGTCTCTCGTAGAAATCTTGCTGCCCTTCAGTTACTGATTTTCCTCTTCTGTAGCCTAGAAAGCCAAGTAAATAAATTTCTTAAAATTCTGATCAAGTTGCAAGTGATTAGCCTAAAATCTGAGGGAGTCCTCTCTCACTAGAGTATGTATAGACTTTAATACCAAATGATTTTTGTTTACTACTTAGCTCTTTTTCTGGAGAGGTGACACTGGCAGATAGTGACCTGAAGTTAAATGAGTTACTGTGCTAGGGTTCTCTTTTCAGCTTTTGGGTACCATGGTTTCAGTTCTAGGCCAGCTTTACACGGAGACAGAGCAAATAACGTGCGCCACCCCACCCCCACCACCGCTGCCCTGCCGCCGCTCTGAAGCCCTTTACTTCTACTTGCAAATTCCTTGGCATTTCATATATACATACCTTAAAGAATTTAAAGCAGGAACCCAGATACGTGTGCACCAATGTTCATAGCAACATTATTACAATAGCCAAAAGGTGGAATCAATCCACATGCCCATCAGCAGATGAATAGATGAACAAAATGGAAATATACCTGCAGTGTAATGTTATTCAGCCAGCCATTAAAAGGAATGAAATTCTGATATATGGATCAACCTTGGACACATAATGCTAAATAAAATAAGCAAGACATAAATGCACAAATACTGTTCAATTCCACTTGTATCAGGTACCTAGAATAGGCAGATTCATGGAGATGGAAAGTAAAATAGAGGTTATCAGGGAATGGGGAATTAATGTTTAATAGGTATAGAGTTTCCTTCTGGGATGATGAAAATGTTTTGGAGATGGATGATGTTAATAGTTGCACAATATTGTGAATGTACTTCATGTCACTGAAATATACACTTAAAAGTGATTAAAATGGGAACTTTTATGCATAAGTTACCACAATAAAAAGAAATATAGATTTTTCTGGTTCAAGTAAGGTTTCAGAACTTTAGAATGAAAGTTCAGACATCTCTGAAAACATACTTTGATAGAGACCATAGTGTACCTATCACCAGCATGGGTGGGGAGATGACTCCTCAGGGGAAGATGCCATTGCCTGCATCAGTTTGCCAGTGGAGCGCTAGAAAGTTCATCCTTTCATTTCTCCCTTCTAGGCTATCCATCCAGGATATGGTTTTCTTTCAGAAAACATGGAATTTGCCGAACTATGTAAGCAAGAAGGAATTATTTTTATAGGTCCTCCTTCATCAGCAATTAGAGACATGGGTATAAAGAGGTATGAGTTTATATCTTAAATACAGCCATAGGAAGGTCAATTGAAATGGTTATTTACCTATAATAGACATGTTAATTATACCCTTTCATTGTCATAGGTTTTAAGTTATTTATTTGCCACTATAGTGAGTTACAGAAAATATTCAAGTAATTAGTGTTTCTAATCAATATGTTCATTTTTGGGAATTAAAAACAAGGTGGGATGAGCTACCACATGAAAACTGGATTGAGGAAAGTATTAGATATTTTAACATTTGTATTAATTTTTGTTTTCTCAGACGGTAATCCTTTCTTTACCTATGGAATGTTTTATTTTTAAAATTCCATTCTATTTTATATACTGGGCAGTATTTGTGTTTCTCTTGTATGAAATAATTTGTAGAATTAGGGCATCTTTTTTTTTTTTTTATTCTAAAGCACATCCAAATCCATAATGGCTGCCGCTGGAGTGCCTGTTGTGGAAGGTTACCATGGTGAGGACCAGTCAGACCAGTGCCTGAAAGAGCATGCTGGGAGAATCGGTTATCCGGTCATGCTTAAAGCCGTCCGTGGTGGAGGAGGGAAGGTAAGATTATGCGTGCTTGTGTTTTGCATTTCAAGCTAGTCTCATTTGTTTATTTATGTTGTAGTCATGGCTAGCTTTCCATCTTAGGGTATGAGGATCATAAGATCCGAAAAAGAATTTCAAGAGCAGTTGGAATCAGCACGGAGAGAAGCTAAGAAGTCTTTCAATGATGATGCTATGCTGATTGAGAAGTTTGTGGACACACCGAGGTAGGTTTAGCTTTTTTTCCTGACTTAAATTTTTTAAATTAAATTATAAAAGAAATGCATGCATATTATATAAAGTATAAAATTTTGATAGTACATGAGTACATTAAGTTCCCAATCCCACTCCCTGATGTAACCACTAGTACAGTATGCATTCCTCCAGGCATTTTCTACATGAGTAGAAACATTTATACATATACACACAGAATGCAAAATACATATAAAAGAACAGTGAACAGAATCTTAACATAATATTATATGCTAATATTATATCGTAAACACCTTCCATGTCAGTAAATAGAGATCTACCTCATTCTTTTTATATGCTTAATGGTTCCGTGATATTGATGTGTCATTAATTCATTCAGTTCATTTCTTGATGGAATTTAGAGTCCTTTCAAAATAAATAAAATTCTTGTAAGAAATTAAGCTTTATCTTGCAGAACTCTATAAGCGTCATTTGAGATGCTCTGAAAATGGAAATAATTGTTCAAATTGAATTGTAAGTGATATGTTAACAAATAATAAAACTAACAGCTCATCCTCGTATTTAATCGTGTGCCAGATTCTAAGTATTTTACATATACTGAGTAGTAGTCTTGCTGTCCTATTTCTAATCTAATTCCTGCAACAATCCCATTAGGTAGGCCCTGTTCTCGTTTTGCAGGTGAGGACACCGAGGAATAGAGTGGTCATCTTACTTGCCTGAGGTCTCCCATCTGGGAAGTGGGGAAGCTGGGATTTGAGCCCAGGCAGTTTGACTCCAGAATTCACACTCTAAGCAACCACCTTAAACTGTTTCTCTAGGTTCCACTGTAGTAGATACTGTGTGGATTTCTAAATTTTTTTACTCTCTGGAATTTTATTTTCATTATATTGCTTGAAATAAGATACTAATTATGAACACATCTTGTTTTATCAATTTTGTGGTAAACTTGTAAGTTAGGTGACCTTATAAAGAATAACTCATTTTGGAACCATGACCAGAGAGGAATTTACCTTGAAGGTGATGAACTGAAACTTCAGGCCCTTCCCTTGCATGAGCCTCTTCTAAGGTCCTGTACCTAATTTTGTACTCATCGTAGAGGAGGCTCCCAAATTATTTCTGTTTCAGCCCTACAAATAGAATTGTTCCTATGCATGGCACAGTATATTAAGTTCATTTAGAGTATGATTGTAAAAATAAAGCCCTCATTCTCAAAATAGGCCAGCTGATTAGGCCAGCACAACACATGCCACCCGTTAGTGGGAAATAAGGCAAAAATGGAGGAAGTTCTAAGGTCAATTGAAGGCTCCTTTCAGTAGCTTTCAAAAAAGAATAGGCTGACTATCCAAATGAGCATACTCTTGAGCTAAAATTGTCGTAGAGACATCAGCTAGCTATTTCAGTGACTGTAACTCAACGCATGCGACATTTTTGAAGATACAGATTCTTGTGAAATGTCATCTATTACTTCACATTGTAATTTATTCTCTCAGTAGCTGGTAAGCTCCTGGGAACCGAGGACCTGCTCATTTCTTTTTTTTTTTTTTTCTCCTGTATGTTACTTGGCATATTATTTTCTTCATGGTAGGTGTCTATGATTTTTTTTTAAATGTGGAAATAACATGAATACGTTACAGACTTTGAAAATACAGCAGGTAGAAAACAAAGTCACTCATAAACTCATTCTTTGAATATCAGTATTAACATTTCTACATATTTCTTTTCTGTATTTTCTAGTAACATTTCCATATCATGATAATCATACTGTTTTATATCCTGCTAAATAATTACCTGTTGAGATAATAGCCAGAAGATTGTCAATATGGTGCTGATAACAGAAAAGTAGAAATCAAGATGTTTATAAACTTAATAAATTCACCACCCTGAAATCTGGGCAATCATGTGGATACAGCAAATCATAGCCAAGATCAGTTTACCTGGAGCAGAAGCTGCCAGAGCCATCAACTGATAGGAACACACAAATAGGGATTTTGACAAATTACTGGGGGTTGAGTGTGGACTAGCCTGATGGTAAGAAACTCCTTAGGGCCCAGTTTTAGGGGGAACCCCAAATTTTCATAGGTTTTTCCTCCAAGAACACCACCAGGCAATCAGTGAAAATCCAGGAAAAATGTCCTCACATTCTGGGGGCCTGGAGGAGGAAAGAAGCCGTTTTGAATAGGCCCACAGCAAAGGCCAGCACTCTAAGGGAAACTTTGCCAGAGCCTTTTCTGTCCTTGGGGGAGGGCAGTTAGCCAGCTCTAACCCCCTCTAACCTTCCTGTTTCACCTAAGGGAAGAAAAAAAGCTAAAACACACAGGGACACAGACCCAGTAGAAGACTGAGATTTAATCATAAGAATATGGAATGCTTTTCTTCCCCCACACCCTTCTCCCCTGTCACCAGGGCTCCAGCATAGTAACGGGTTTACAGCTAAGATTGCTGCAAGGCACAGGCTGCGTTTAAGGAGTTCTTAGGGAAAGCCCAAGACAACAGGAGAAAAACAAAACAAGGACAACAGAAGAAACTGAAGCCCCTGGCACCTACAGCTACTGCAGACCTTAAATACAGCCTCTCTGCTAGCCAGATTAACATAAAACCTCACATGAAATTTGTTTACTTCAGTTTCTTGTTCCATGATATATTATGTCTGGTGTTTAATCAAAAAACTTACAAGGCATGCTAAAAGACGAGTAAAACATGGTCTGAAGAGAAAAAAAGCAAGCATCAGAACCAGATTGAAATATGACACAAATTTTGGAATTTTTAGATGTGGAATTTAAAGTAACTGATTAATATGTTAATGGCTCTTGTGGAAAAGTACAGTAGACAACATGCAGAACATATGGGTAATGTAAGCAGAGAGGGATGGAGACACTAAGGAAAAAAATCAGAAGAAAATGCCAGGAATCAAAAACATTGTAAAAGAAATGAAGAACGCATTTGATAGGCTTATTGGTAGACTGGACACAGCTGAGAAAAGAAACAGTGACCTTGAACGTGTCAATGGAAGCTTCCCAAATTGAAGGGCAGAGAGAAATAATGCAATCAAACAACTTAATATCTGAGAAGGGAGACAATTTTAAAAGGTGTAACATGTTATTTGATTACTAAAAGGAGAATAAAGAGAGGAGCAGAAGAAATATTTGAAATAATAATGGCCAAAATATTTCGAAAGTTAATGACAAACACCAAACTACAGAATCAGGAAGCTCAGGGGACACCAAAAGCAGAATAACTATCAAAAAATTTTTGAGTTATATTCAAATTGAAAGGAAACCGAAGACAAAAAGAAAATTTTGAAAAAAGCCCCAGGGGAAAAAACACCTTATCTATAGAGGAACAAGGGTAAGAAATACGTTAGACTTAAGAGTAGAGTGGAGTGAAATACTTATAAAGTGTTTTTTTAAAAATCAACCTATAAATTCTGTATCCAGTGAAATTAGCCTCCAAACTAGAAGGAGAAATACTTTCTCAGACAAGCAAAAATTGAGAGAATTTGTCACTGGTAGATTTGCCTTGCAAGAAATGATAATTTCTTCAGAGAGAAGGAAAATGGTATAGGTCAGAAACTCGGCTCTCTGTAAAGAAAAGAAAAGCATTAGAGAAAGAATAAACAAAGGTAAAGTAAAAATCTCTTAGTTTTCTTAATTGATCTCACAGGTAACAGTTTGTTCAAAATACTATTAGTAATATGTTTGGTGATGATAGCTCAAAGGTAAGTAAAAAGAGGGAGAAAAGATCAAGAAAGCAAATCCAGAAGGAAGAAATCAGCTTCTATTATTTGTCAGAAGAATGTGTTGGACAAGTTGGGAAATTTTTAAATGGAACATTCAGTAGAAACAACGTAACAATAAAATAAGTTCCTCCAGGTGGTATAATGACGTGTTTCATGAGGTGAACAGAAATGAGCCACTGTGCTGAAACATTACATTTATAAGACTTAATAAGTTTTTACAAAAATTTCTTCTTTGACAATTTTTATTTTGAAAACTCAACAGAAAAAAACGTTTGCTGATCACTCATTTCTGTATTATGGTGGTGAATGTGTGAGGTGAACTATATTGTGAACATACCAAAATGAATCTACTGAAAAGAGTGCTTTCATGTTTATCAAATGGTCTGTTACCCTTATCTTCTTAAGTGTTATGTGCATTCACTGTTAATATGACTTCTGATAATTTTACTATTTTACACTCAACATTTAAGTGCCTTTTTTGTTTTTTTATGTTTAATGTTAGTGTTTCCTTAAAAAATGATGATCCATGTTAATTTATTTCTTAACCTTTCTGTGGATGAGCCATTATAATTTTCAGTCTGCCTTAGTTTATAAAATCTGATTGTAAGAGTTGATTTTTTTAAATCCCCTGAAAGTTTTTGTTGGCTTTTTGAGGATACATGAAATGTGACTATAATTTATAATTTTGATATAGTCAGGTTTATCAGTCCTTTCCTTGGCTGTTTTTACTTGTGATCTGCCCCTACTGTGAGTTCGTAAATAGAGCCTCCTATGTTTATGTCTTTTCTTATTTCCCAGTCATTTCATATATATAATTTTTCTTCTGGAATGTTCATCCTACAAATGGAAACTTTTCATTGGGTTTTTAAATAGGCATGTAGAAGTCCAGGTGTTTGGTGACCACCATGGCAACGCTGTGTACTTGTTTGAAAGAGACTGTAGTGTACAGCGGAGACATCAGAAGATCATTGAGGAGGCCCCAGGGGTAAGGATCTTGTAAAGAAATTTGTCAGCTTCTCTATAATGTAAACCTTGGCCACTGACTTTCATGTCCACTTCCCACTCGGAACAAGCCCTCATTGCAGTGTTGGAGTGAGGCAAGGGTTCATGTTTTGGGGCTACTATACAGAAGGCACAGTAGAGCTGTGGTGCTTCTGGATGGTATCTAGGAAAATCTGCTCTGATCCAAGTATCTGCCTTACAGTGAACAGCTGTATATTGTTTCCATGTAGATTTTAAGTTGTAATTAACTAGACTGTTTGAGGAATGGAATGGTCTTGTTAATTGGTTTTTTTTTTTAATGAAGAAGACTCTTTTAACCATTGTTTCAAGTGTTCCTAGAATATATTAGTCATCTTCTCAGCTTAGAGGTTATATTGTATAGGAGAGAGATTTGCTCTTATTTAGCAACTTTTCTCCCTCAGAATTGTTTACATGTCTCTGAGCCCACCTCTTGATTGGCTCAGGTATTATCTGGGTCATGGCCTACTCCTGGGATTACCTGTATTTGGATTTACATTTCTTTGGAACCTGCTGCTATCATAGGCTTCTTTCTTGTCTAAAGTTGTATGTGTGGTTTTTTCAGTGTGTATTTCTAAAAGATCAGGGATCTAAGGTTTCTGATTAATCAGTTTGTTATTCTCATACTGTACTCAAAATTTAATTTCTGTTGCAGACTATATTATACTCTGAAGTAAATGTTAACAGTAATATTAATAAAGCCATATTTTCAAGCATCGATTAAATAAAAATCTGCTGAGCACCATTTTAAAATGTTAAAAGCTCTGCCTACTTATTGACATACATTTCTTTTTATGAACCTTTCTTACTAACTTGCAGTCTCAAGGTTTACTGTTATTCTAAGATAATTATTGGATACATGACCCAGATTGCTTTATCATCTTGAAACAAAATAGAGATAGTTCTAAGTTTTCATATTGATACATATAATTTTAAGTGGACATATAGTCATGAAAGTTATTTTGTAAGTACAAGGGACAGAGATATGTCATTATGCTGAGTAATAGCTGCAGTTCATAGAAATTACTAACAGAATCATTAAACTTTGATATAAGGACAGTTGAACTATGGTATAGGACAATACTTCTTGAAGAAATGTGTGATATTAGCTACTTATCCATATCTCTTTAATGTAGTATTTGGTACATAGAAATGTAATATTGAATCTTAATGGAAACTTCTAGTAGGACAAAGTACTAATGGAAACTTATTTCAAATATTTTTTCATAGCCTGGCATTAAACCTGAAGTAAGAAAAGCACTTGGAGAAGCTGCAGTCAGAGCTGCTAAAGCTGTAAACTATGTTGGTGCAGGTATGTAAAGATGTGCTTCTGATGGAGGAGAAAGAGTGATCCTTTGTGTTTTGAAAGGCAAACAAAACATATAGCTTTTAAATCATTGACTTTCAAACTTTTTTGACTATACCCACATTAAGAAATATGTTTTATATTGAGACCCAGTATATGCATATGTGTTTGTGTTTATATACATGTATATTTGAAAAAAATTTTTCACTAAACAGTACTTACTCTAATTATGTGTAATGCTATTTGATTCTTTATATCCTATTTTAAAATAAAATCACTGAAATGATTTTTTTGTGTGTTTTTTTTTTAAATTTGTAAACTTCAACTTTTTAGGGGAGTTTTAGGTTAACAGAAGAATTGAGCAAAAGTAGAGAGTTCCCATACCCTGTCCCCATACATGCATAGCCTCCCCAAGTATCAACATCCTGTGCCAGAATGGTGCTTTTATTATAATGGATGGACCTACACTGACACATCATTATCACCCAGTGTCCATAGTTTATGTTAGAGTTCACTCTTGATGTACATTCTGTGAGTTTGGACAAATGTGTAATGACATGTATCCAACATGTATTCACCATTGTAGTATCTCACAGAATAGTTTCAATGCCCTCAATATGCTCTTCATCCTTCCCTGCTTCCAGCCCCTGAGAATCACTGATCTTTTTATTGCATCCATGGTTTTGCCTTTTCCAGATGTCATACAGTTGGAATTATATAGTGTGTAGCTTTCTCAGATTGACTTCCTTCACTTAGTAGCATGCATTTAAGTTTCCTCCATGTCTTTTCATGGCTTGATGGCTCATTTCTGTTTGGCGCTGGATAATATTCCATTGTCTGGTTGTACCAGTTTATTTAAATATCTTCTCACTTCCAGAAGTATATTTTGGTTGCTTCCAAGTTTAGTAGTTATGAATAAAGCTGCTATAAATATCTATGTACAGGGTTTTGTGTGGACATAGTTTCAGTTCATTGGGATAAATACCAAGAAGGGATCACATGGTAAGAGTATGTTTAGTTTTGTAAGAAACTGCCACACTGTCTTTCAAAGTAGATGTATCACTTTGCATTTCCATCAAGCAAATAATGAGAGTTCCTCATCCTCATCAGCATTTCATGTCGTCATTGTTCCAGATTTTGGCCATTCTAATAGGCTTGTAGTGACATCTCATTTTAATTTGCATTTCCCTGATAACATAATGTGGAGCATCTTCTCATATGTCTATTTGCCATCTGTGTATTTGCCATCTCTTCTGTCTTTTGACCATTGTTTAGTTAGGTTGTTTGTTTTCTTATTGTTGAGCTCTAAGTTATTGGTATATTTTAGATAACAGTTCTTTAACAGATGTACTTTTGCAAATTTTTCTCCCAATCCGTGGCTAGTCTTTTCATTCTCTTGATATTGTCTTTAACAGAGCAGAAGGTTTTAATTTTAATGAAGTCCAATTTATCAATTATTTCTTTCATGGATTGTGTCTTTGTTGTTGTGTCTAAAAAGACTCACTATGCTCAAAGTCAACTAGGTTTTCTCCTTTGTTGTCTTCTAGTTTTCTGGTTTTGTGTTTTACATTTTGGTCTTTGATCCATTTGGGGTTAATTTTCATGAAGGCTGTAAGGTCTGTTGAGATTCTTTTTCTTTTTCTTTTTCTTTTTCTTTGCTTGTAGATGTCCAGTTGCTCCAGCATCATTTCTTGAAAAGACTTTTCTCCATTTTATTGCCTTTGATCCTTTGTCAAAGATTAGTTGTCTATGTGGATCTGTTTCTGGGCGCTCTATTCTGTTCCACTAATCTATTTGTTCTCTCACCAGTACTTCATTGTTTTGATTTCTGTAGCTTTATAGTAAGTCTTGAACTTAGATAGTATCAATCCTCCAATTTTGTCATTTTGTCGTATCAAGTTGGTTATTCTGGGTCCTTTTCCTCCGTATAAACATTAGAATCAGTTTTTTGATATCCACAAAATTGCTTGCTAGGATTTTGATTGGAGTTGCAATGACTCTATATAACAGATCTTGACCATGTTGAGTCTTCCTATCCATAAACATGAACTGTTTCTCCATTTATTTAGCTCTTCTTTTACTTATTTCATCAGAATTCTGTAGTTTACTTATACATATTTTGTTAGATTTTTGCCTGTTTCACTTCAGGAGGGTGCTAATGTAAATGGTATTGTGTTTTTAATTTCAAATTCTACTTGTTTACTTGTATGTAGGAAAACAGTTGACTTGTGTACTCACCTTATATCCTGCAACCTTGATACGGTTGCTTATTAGTTCCAGGAGGTTTTTTGATCAAGTTTTTGGATTTTTTTATAAAGTTGATCAAGTCACCTGTAAACAGTTTTATTTCTTCCTTCCCAATCTATACCATTTATCTCCTTTTCTTGTATTATTGCATTAACTGGGACATCTTGTATGATATTGAAAAGGAGTGGTGAGAGTGGACAGCCATGTTTCTGATCTTAGTGGGAAGGCTTCTAGTTTCTCACCATTAGGTATGATGTTAGCTGTAGGTTTTTGTAAATCTTTTTCAAATTGTGGAAGTTCCCCTCTATTTGGGAGTTTTTATTATAGTTGGGTATTAGATTTCATCAAATGCTTTTTCTGATTTTGTTGATACAATCATGGGATTCTGCTTTAGTCTGTTGATGTGATGGATTACATTAATTGATTTTCAGATGTTGAACTAGACTTGCATACTAGATCTCACCTGGTCATGGTATATCATTATTTTTATACATTATTAGATTTGATTTGCTGAGGATTATTTCATCAATGTTCTTAAGAGTTACTGGTCTGTAGTCTTCTTTGGTTTTGGTGTTAAGGTAATGCCTCATAGAATGAGTTGGGGAGTATTCTGTCTTCTGAAAGAGACTGTAGATAATTGGTATAAATTAGTATAAATTGGTATAAATAAATTGGTATAAATTCTACCTTCAGTGTTTGATAGAATTCACCAGTGAACCAGTCAGCCTACTGCTGTCTTTCTTTGTTGTTGTTATTTATCTATTTTTGTCGGTCGGGGGGTGGGGGTGATTAAGTTTATTTATTTATTTTTAGAGGAATACTTGTTCACACAGAGGTTTTTGCTCATAAGTTTCTGTTCCAGCAAGTTGTGAATCTCTATATTTGCCTGTCTTTCTCTCTAATTTGGGGGGCTGCAGTTTGCTCACATCTCTGGTGGATCTAAGAAGAGTTGTTGGTTCTTCAGCTTATTCAGCTTTTCACTTGTCAGGATGGAATGGTGACTTGTAAACACCTTACCTGCTGGGTCAGAAACAGGAAATTTTCACTAAATTTTTATAGTCCACTGATAGATTGTGACCCACAGTTTGAAAAACAGTTTTAAATTGTATGGAACTAACTTTACGCTAAGTAAAAAAATTTCAAACACAGAAGGCTACATACTATATGATTTCATTTATATGACATTCTAGGAAAAAAACTCATAGAAAGCAGAAGAGTGGTTGGCTGGAGCCAGGGGCCTGGGGAAGGGACTGACTGCAAAGCGGAACAAGGGAACATTTTGGGTGATGGAAATGTTTTGTATTTTCATAGTGGTAGTGGTTATATGACTGTATTCAATTGCTGAAACCTAAAATGGATAAAGTTGGAGGGGGGTGTAATTAGGTTTATTTATTTTTTTAATGAAGGTACTGGAGATTGAACCCAGGACCTCGTGCATGCTAAGCACGAGCTCTACCACTGAGCTATTACCCTCCCCCTTAAAATGAATAAAGTTTATTGTCAGAAATTATGCTTTGATAAAGTTGGGGGGAGTGTAGTACCTAATAGAATGCCAGTAGATAAGACATTAACATGATGTTTAGTTACTAAGCAATCTTCTAAAGGGTCACTAGCAAAAGGATTTTAAAGAAACTTCCAGAGCCCACATTCAACAGGAAAAAAAGTCTTTCTCCACAGGGTTAGAGTAAGATGGGATGTCACAGTGTGAGGTTTCCGAGGTTCTGGTGCACTGAAGCAGTAATTCATGGTTCAGCCATGTTCTCACTGCTGTGGCAGCTGAGACTGATTCATAACTTGGGTTTACCATTTACTCAAAATCCCAGACATACTTCTCTATTGTTAAATTTCATGTGGCTCCCTATTTTTGATTGAAAATCATTTCACTGCTGCAAAGTATGAGGTATTTTCATGAAATGCAAAATGTTTATCACTGAATGAAGGCAGCAGTAAAACTTGATATTTCATGAAAGATTTTGATTCTGACTGATTACATGCTGTTGGAATGTGACCACTGTATTTTATCTTTCAGGAACTGTGGAGTTTATTATGGACTCAAAGCACAATTTCTACTTCATGGAGATGAATACAAGGCTGCAAGTGGAACATCCTGTTACTGAGATGGTCACAGGAACTGACTTGGTGGAATGGCAGCTTAGGGTGGGAGTGTTTTTTCTGTTAAAGATCAGTGTTGAGAATATGAGATACCTCCTAAGAGGAAGTATCACTTTGGGCAAGGGTTCAATCCTTGGTGGTTGTCATGAGGATAGGAAAATGGGAGGTTAAAGGTGACAGTACATTTGATGCTGTGACATTGTTGTCACTTTATGGACTGATTCCTAACTTGTCACTTACCATCTTTTCCCCTTAGACATGGGGCAGCCAGAAGATGAGCTCCTGCCACTGAGGCCTGCTCTTACCACATTGTCTCAACACAAAGCCTTCTGCTCTACCTGAGGCCACATCATTCAGGGCCAGGCCATCGTTAGATTTTAGAGGCAGGGCAGGTGCTGGTCAAGATGAGATGACCTAAAGAAGAGTTGGGAATGGTTTAGACCAACAGTGTTTCATGTGCAAGTGCGGACACACTGTTGCTGGGCCATGAAGGGATAAGCATAGCCATTGAGAGTAAATACTTAGAAAGTTTTAAACCATTCTGACTTCACTATGACACATCTACTATATTTTAGTGAAGTGTAAGTTTACAACTGTTCCTCACTGGCCTGAACCGGAGTTCTACAAAGCATATTCCGTCAAATACTAATAATAATATTTTAGTCTGTTTTGTTCTCTTTATTGAAAACAATAGGTTTTACAGCCTTTTCTCAATATAAAAAAAAAAATTTAAGTGGTATGAACATTCTTGATCTCTCTAGGATTCTTGGTTCTTTATATATCCTGAATCTAAATTATCTTTTCCATGTTGTGATGTTAAAGTCTTGACTATTTTCATCATTTTGTCTTTGTAGAACTTCTGAGGACAGTAATATGATATTCCTCTTGCTGGTTCTTTGGGAATGATTGGTGGTTTTAATTGACTTACAGGATTCTTCCGGGCCTCTGTAGCCTTGAAAGTAATGAAACCCAGGCATATCAGACTAGGAAATGTTACTAAGTATCAGGAAAACTGGAGCAGGTTTAGAGACTTTTGGAAACAGTGCATATGTTTTCAGAATTCAAAGAAGGATTTTTTTTTTCTGAAGCAATAATCAAGAGAGTCCTGAAATTTGAAATCATGAAGGATAAAAGATTTCCAAGGATTAAGGAGGAGAAAGCTTTTGGACATTAGACGGGACCGCAGACATTTATTTCTGCAACTCAAGAAATTTTAAGAGTTTTGAAGGCTCTTAGAAAAGGAATCAACTTTTATCATCTGGGAAAGGTTTCTAGAGCTTAGGGACACCATTGAACCTTGTTTACAAGGGTTCAAGGCACTTTGGAGTCTGGCTTCCAAGCATAGGTAAAACAAGGGATCTCACCATTTGGTGAGTCAAGAGTTCAAGCTCCAGGACCTTTCTCTGGAGTCACTGGCTTCCTGAGCGAGGGTGAAATGACGTGAGCACCCAGGCTGCAGTTGCAGGTGGTTAGCAGTGTCCACGGGAGGCTGGTGAAATGTCCAAGCTCCAAGGGTTCCAAAAAGTCAACGTCTAGAGCCCGGGAGAACCTGACACAGTTTTCCAAGTACTCAGCCTTTTCTGGGCCTAGATAGAGACCAGTTTCAGAGGAAAACAGGCAGATAAACCAGGTTAAAGTAGGGCTATGTAGTCAGAAATCAGATCACATCTTAGAATATGGTCATTCTTCAATGAATCTGTACTTGAGTCTGGGCTGGGAATATGTAAAACCCCTGTGTTGGGAGCAGGTCTAAGCTGGAGGGATGAGGACTGGTGAAACAAAACCTCCTCTCACTGTCAATATGGCAGCTGTTTTGGGTCAGTATTTTCTCTTTACTGTTGTATGTTACATAATAATGCTATATATTCAGACAATATTGTTACACCTACTTTACCAACAGCCCGGAGTTGCTTTTTGCCATATTTACCTCCATGTTACATAATACAAATAAATCTTCACAGGTAGAATTGAAGCCTCAAAAAAAAAAAGAATATAGTCATTCTTTTTTATACTAAAACAAATAGAATTCTTTATTAAAACATTAAAGAGTATTTTATTTTAAAGGATAAGAATGAAACGATGATAGCTAACACGACATAGTGATTATTATATGCCAGGCATTTTTCTCTGAAGCATCAAGAGGTTAAAGAAGCTTACCCAGAATATGAATATGCCCATAACAGGGTAAATGTAGAGACAGAATTTGAACCCAGGCAGTATGGCTGTAGTCTATGGTTCCAAACACTGTGCCATAAAGGCATTCAGCTTAGTTCATTTTCCTTTCATTTTTAACTGTTGTGGTTCCTGATTTTTCTTATTTATAGATTTAAAGAGATGAAACCTTTGCCTGTTTTATGCTTACCTCTTTAGTTCAGTGTACTGCTGAGCTAGAGTTTTTTCCCTGTATCTTTTACCATCTCAGTTTATCTTTTTTTTTTCTTCTTGGGAAAAACTTAAGGGGAGAGTAAAGAGAGTGACAGTGTGCCCTACAATAGCCTTTTCCAAATTATACTAGTTGAAGAGAGAGATTTGTTGTATTGATATATAAAAGCCAAAATAATGATAATAATAATAAGCCAAATAATAACAGTGATAAACAATACTGATCACCCTGTTTAGAGTCTGATATCTTGCAATATTCATAAACATAACAACGTCTTTAAAACATGTTCCCCAGTCTGTTTTGCTCTATTACTCACTTGGTGATGAAGTTTACAAAGATGATTAATGCCACACTTTAGCCATAGTTGTAAATATAGTCCTAAACACCAAGTAATAATTTACTGCAAAAAAAAGATTGATTTGGTAACTGAGTACTAATGTTTTAAATGAAAACTAAGAATATCTTGCCAGTGAGAAATTTTAGTTTTGATTATATTGAAAAATAATTGATATTTATAATTTAGTCATCAGTTTGCCTGTTTTCTCTATAACTGTAAAACCCATTGTAATTAATGTATTATTTCCAAGCTGCATCTGTTTTTTTTTTTAACATTTTTTTATTGAGTTATAGTCGTTTTACAATGTTGTGTCAAATTGCAGTGTAGAGCACAGATTTTCAGTTATACATGAACATACAATATATTCATTGTCACATTTTTTTTCGCTGTGAGCTACCATAAGATCTTGTATATATTTCCCTGTGCTATGCAGTATAATCTTGTTTATCTATTCTTGCATCTGTTTTTAACATTTTTTATTGATTTATAATCATTTTACAATGTTGTGTCAAACTCCAGTGTAGAGCGCAAATTTTCAGTTATATGTGAACATACAAATATTCATTGTCACATTTTTTTCTCTGTGAGCTACCATAAGATCTTATGTATATTTCCCTGTGCTTGCATCTGTTTTTAAATCTGTTTTTGCTTTTGTCCAATACTCAAGTGGGTAGATAAAATAATAGTTTTTATTTAGCTTTATTATTAAGTCCAAATGTCCATTTTATATAGGAAAAGACAAGACCATCAAATTAGTCTCATAGCCACTGTAAGATGGATTTTCATAAGACCATGTACTCTTCTTTTACCAGGTTGCAGCAGGAGAGAAGATTCCTTTGAGCCAGGAAGAAATAACTCTGCAGGGCCATGCCTTTGAAGCTAGAATATATGCAGAAGATCCTAATAATAACTTCATGCCAGGAGCTGGACCATTAGTGCATCTCTCTACCCCTCAAGCCGACCTTTCCATAAGGATTGAAACTGGTGTACGGCAAGGTAAAGTGAAATAAAATAAAAATTCTTGGTTTTAGAAAACTTTAAATACATTATTGTTTTTGAATGGGGGTCTTTTCCCTGTGTTTTGTGGAAATGCCTAGTGTGTTTTTAAATAAAGGATTTAATTGATTTCTCATTAATCTTTACTTTTTTCTCAGGAATAGTTATTTTTAAAAAATAACTAGTATTTTTAAGCAGTACTATCTTTTTTAAACTAATATTTCTTTAATTTTGAGCAGTTGCTTTTTTTTCTTTCTTTGCTCTCTTTTTTTGAAATGCAGCAGCACTTAGTCAAACCTAAGCAAAAAATATTTTGTGTGTACTGCTTTCCATTTTTACTTTGCATAGTTCCAAAAATGATTTAAGGTGACTGATACCTGGTATGCCCAAGTCATTCTGCCTTCAAGATACTGAAAGTCAAGCTGGAGAATTCAGTAAAAATAAGTTCAGTTCAAGCTAAACAATAGTAAAAGAAAGAAAGAAAAGTAAAAAAAATCGTGCACAAGAGCTGTCACAGTTCACATATGATTAATTACAATGGTCAAAACTAAATTATTTAGCACTTACTATGTACAGGTGCTGTTCTGGGTGATTTTTCTACATGGGCTCCTTTAACTATGAGAACTACCCTATGAGTAGGTGTCATTATCATCCCCATTTTCCAGATGAGGAAACCAGGCACAGAGAAGTGATTTATTCAAGATCACCCTTGGAGCCAAGATTCAGACCCAGGCATTCTGAAGACATTCCAGCTCCAGGGTCTGCCGTCTGAGTCACCACTGTCTCTTGCCACCTTAGTTGCCACAGAAGTTAAACAGATGGTGAGAGAGAAAATATAGCAATTCGCACAATTAATAGGTTATGTTAGCCTGATATAGTCAGGACACGTTTCTAAGAGGAAACCTGGAGTGGATTTGAGTAGGCAGATTTAACTGCATACATAAAAGTGAAGAAAAGAGGACTTAACTAAAGGTGTGTTCAAAGATCTGTAAGAAAATATGTGGCTGGAGAAAAGGGTTTAGGATAGTGAGTAGTTGATGTGGCTGGAGATAATAGAATGAGAGCAGATCGTTTCGGTCTTGAAAGCCAAAGTGAAGAATTAGGACTTCTTTTTGTTTTGTTTTGAGTTATAGTCAATTTACAATGTGTCAATTTCTGGTGTGCAGCACAATTTTTCAATCATACATGGATATACATATATTCATTTTCATATTCGTTTTCACCATGAGCTACTAGAAGATCTTATATATATTTCCCTGTGCTGTACAGTATAAACTTGTTTATCTATTCTATGTATACCTGTCAGTATCTACAAATCCTGAATTCCCAATCTGTCCCTTCCCACCCTTTTCCACCCTGGCAACCACAAGTTTGTGTTCTATGTCTGTGAGTCTGCTTCTGTTTTATATTTAAATTCATTTATCTTTTTTTTAAGATTCCACATATGAGTGATATCATATGGTATTTTCCTTTCTCTTTCTGGCTTACTTCACTTAGAGTGACATTCTCCAGGGAAATCCATGTTACTACAAATGGCATTATATTGTCTTTTTATGGCTGAAGAGTATTCCATTGTATAAATATATCACAACTTCTTTCTTCAGTCACCTGTCAGTGGACATTTAGGTTGTTTCCATGCCTTGGCTATTGTAAATAGTGCTGCTATGAACGTTGGGGTCAAGTGTCTTTTTGAATTAGGGTTCCTTCTGGATATAAGCCCAGGAGTGGGATTGCTGGATCATATGGTAAGTCTGTTTTTAGTCTTTTAAGGACTCTCCATACTGTTTTCCACAATGGCTGCACCAAACTGCATTCCCACCAGCAGTGTAGGAAGGTTCCCTTTTCTCCACAGCCTCTCCAGCATTTATCATTTGTGGACTTTGGAATGATGGCCATTCTGACTGATATGAGGTGATATCTCATTGTAGTTTTGATTTGCACTTCTTAATTAATAATACTGAGCATTTTTTCATGTGCCTGTTGGTCATTCATATGTCTTCATTGGAGAATTGCTTATTTAGGTCTTCTGGCCATTTTGGGATTGGATTGTTTGTTTTTTTCTTATTAAGTCATATGAGCTGTTTGTATATTCTGGAGATCAAGCCTTTGTCAGTTGCATCATTTGCAAATATTTTCTCCCATTGTGTAGGTTGTCATTTTCTTTTGCTTACGGTTTCCTTTGCTGTGCAAAAGCTTGTAAGTTTAATTAGGTCTCAATTGTTCATTTTCGCTTTTTTTTCTATTTCTTGGGTAGACTGCCCTAGGAGAACATAGCTGAGATGTATGTGAGACATGTTTTGCCTATGTTTTCTTCTAGGAGGTTTATTGTGTCTTGTTTTATGTTCAAGTCTTTAATCCATTTCAAGTTTATTTTTGTGTATGGTATGCGGAAGTATTCTAACTTCGTTGATTTACATGCTGCTGTCCAGTTTTCCCAACACCATTTACTGAAGGACTTCTTTTTCGTTGTGGATTTTGTTTTGGGGGAGGGGAGGTAATTAGGTTTACTTTTTTTTTTTTTTTTTAGTTTTAATGGAGGTACTGGGGATTGAGCTATACACTCCCTCCATGGAATTAAGACTTCTTAATAATAAGTTGGCAGAATTTTGAGACCTCTGGCTAACCCACAGCAAGATTTTAACTTAACAGCAAAACATCATAGAAAAGAGGGAACTTATAATAGAGAAGAAATAATCTGTGAGGAAGCAAAGCTTGCAGTATAATTTAATAAAGGTGCTCAGAGGATAACAGAGATACAATTATGAAAAGGACTCCCAGATTCACATCCTAACACTGGAAAGGATAATCTAGGCCAGGAAGCACCCCCCAACCCCTCTTTTGTGTTCCCTGAGTCCCCTGTGTGTTCTTGTGCATTGCCCTTTTATACTATCTTACAGTGATCTTTTACTCCTTGTCTAGTTTCTCCATTAGACTATAAGAATTTTAAGGGAGGGATTCTGTCTTCCATCTTATATTTGCAGGACCTTGCTCAAGCCTAGGCCTAGAAGGTGGTCAGTATGTTTGAGTAGGTGAGTGGATGGACGGATGGGTGGATGGATAAGGGAGTGTAATCTAACTCCTTGATTCTATAGATGGAGACTCTGGGGTTCAGAGGGGTCAAGTGATGTGCCAAAATCACAAAAAGTTCCTCGAACAGCATTCCTTATAACTTCTGGCTTGAACCATTTCTTACCAATGAGATGTGCATGGTTCAGATTCTCTGAGACTCTGTCATAATAGTGATAGCTGTTCCTGTTTATCAGCTCTGCCTGGTGTAGCGTTTAGCACTTGATTGTCAATCCTCCCAACAAGCCTGCAGGATAAAGGAATTATTATCCTTATTTTTCTGGTGAGGAAACTGAGGGTGTGGAGGGACGAAGTGCTAAGGACAAAGTGGCTGTAATCTGAGAGGGTGAAGGGAGTTTGCACCAACTTCCAAAATGAGAAGTGAAAAGAAGGTTTTAAAGAATGGATGGAGAAAACCAGCCTGTGTGTCAGTGAATGACTCTTTTAGGTCCTGGTGCTCTTGGGTGGTCGTAACCTCCTTAGACTTCTAATAAGTGTTTAAGCCCCTGTAAGCCTTGATTCCTCATGAATAAAATGGTGGTAATGATCTCTATCATGCAGGAGTCTGTGAAGATTAAGTGTGAAATGTACCTGAAGCCCCAGGAGAATGTCTTGCTTATCATATTTTATCCCTTTAAGTTTTGAGTGGTTACTGTGGTTTTTCAATTTCAGGAGATGAAGTTTCCATGCATTATGACCCAATGATTGCAAAGCTGGTTGTGTGGGCTGCAGATCGCCAGGCAGCCTTAACGAAACTGAGGTACAGCCTTCGACAGTACCATGTGAGTGACCCTGATGCTCTCTGTCTATCTACAGCCAAGCATATCTTGTCACAAACAAAATAATTTCACGTCAGAGGATTTTCCATTGATCAGAATAGAGTTTGAGGACTTCCTGATTTCAGCTAGAAAAGAAAGATTACAAGACAAAACTACTAGCATCAGTGATAACTTCAGTGAGACCCAATATGCAATTCCTATTCATCCTGTAGATAAGCCCAGCTACACAAGTACGGCCTATAGTCTAGTGTTACTTTCTCCAAAGGAAAAGAATTATTTTCAGTTTTATCCATTTGTTGGAATTTGTTGCTTTTCTGTAGCACATTAATTTCCTTGGTGCAGTAGGTCCCATACGACACTGATTTAGCTTCATAGAAGGATTTCTTATTAACCTATGATATGCACATTATTATATGTCATGAATTTGATCAAACCTCTGATCTCTGGCTCCACCCTCACTGGTCTCCTTGCTGTTTAGACACACCCAGCATGGAACCATGTGTTCCTGTTCTGTCTTCCAGAATGTTCTTCCCCTACATAATCCCAGGACTCCCTCCTCACCATCCTCCAGCCCTGCTCACCGTGATCCTCAGAGTCCTTCATAGGCAACCCTATTTAAAACAGGATGCTTTGCTGTTCTCTGTCCCTTTGGCCAGCCTTATTTTTCTTCCTATGACTTGACATTATATTAGATATTAGTTTATGGGTATTATTTTTTATCTGTCCCTAAAATGTAAGTTCTGTGAGGACAAGGACTTTGTTTTGTTTTTCACTGTGTCCCCAGTACCTGGGTCTGGGCCTGGCACCTAAAAGATGCTCAGTAAATGGGTATTAAATAAATGAATGAATCCAGGTCTCAGATAGCTGGTTTTACTGTGGATCTCATTTATTGAGTGGACTTGAGTTAATTTTATACCTTTTTAATTTTTATGTCTGTGTCAGATACGGATTTTAGTTTTGGAAGGAAGCTCTTTTCAGGTCATGCAATCCTACCTTCTCCCTAGTGTAGCAGTCCTACCCTCTGTTTGCAGTCTTCCTATTTTGTGGGGTGTTCTGAGCGGCAAGTCTTCAATATCTTGCAAATAAATCTCTTAATAAGTTTCTTAACATTTAACTTGCTTTCCTAACCTAAGTCAATTAAATGTCTCCATGCTACCTACCCAGCAGCATTTCCTGCATCCTCTTTATCCTAGTAAATTAACGTAGTGTTAAGTGCAGGTGTATAGTGATGGTGACGTGAGTGGTTTTGTTTTGTTTTGTTTTTCCTGAGAGTTATTCATAGTAGAAAATACTAGGAAGAGCAGGTGCAATAGAAATGTGTTCTGAATATGTTGTTTCCACACTCACTGGGAATGTGGGCTTTTTCCCCCTAGATCGTTGGACTGCACACCAACATTGACTTCCTTCTCAGCCTTTCTGGCCACCCAGAGTTTGAAGCTGGGAATGTGCACACTGATTTCATCCCTCAACATCGAAAAGAACTATTGCCCGGTCGGAAGGCCACAGCCAAAGAGTTTTTATGCCAGGCAGCTCTGGGTCTCATCCTCAAGGAGAAAGCTATGTCTGATATTTTCAAAACTCAGACACAAGGTACAAGAATGCTTGTCTCTTTCCTCTGCTTATCAAGATTTTATGAATAATTATTGAACATGCTTTTCTTTCTTTATGTCACTCCTGCCTCCCTTTTCTGCTCTCAGTGCTTGACACCATCCTTTGCTAATGTGTATTTTAGTGTGAAGTAGAGCTGTTCACAAAACAAGGATGCACCCTTAAACACTAACCCATTAAATAGAAGGTAACTAATCACCCAACAATGTAGAGATGGACTTCTTTTCAGGCAAACACTAGTTCTCCCCGTATCCCATTCCAGCTTTTTTTTTCTGTTTTTTCAAATTTCCTTCCAATTTCTTTTATTCACCACTCCTTGTGGCCTACTCTGTTGTATCCTTTGTACCTGCAGCAACTTCCTTGCTCCTGGAGACTCAGATTCTCCTTGGGTTACCCATAATTTATTGTTATTTCCTTCTTTCTTTTTCCATTTTGCAATCAAATTTCTGACTCTAAAGACCTAGGAACTTCTCCATCGTATCACAGAATCTGAACACAGGGAGGACTATAGCAGAGACTCATCCCGGCAGCCACACACAAATGCAGCCCTGCTTCAGCCTCCTCCTAGCACCTCAGGAAGCTGGAAATTCATAATGAAAATTCATTAAGTTTATTACCCTTACAGTCAGTTTTCCGTTAAGAAGTTCTTCCCTCTGAATTGAGCAAAATATGAGCTCTCTCAGACTTGCTCCGTAACGTTTACTCAGGCTAACTGATCTTTGGAGCAAACAAAAAAAAATTGAATCTGTTTATCCCATCATCATTATTGGGATTATTATATTATTATAGGATCCCATTGTTAGGATCTTTAATTTCTAGACTCATTCAAGAAAGTGATATTGAAAATGTAGTATATAAGTTTGTCTTTAAGAGATTTATTCTCTGGACTCATTTTGCCATTTTACATTAAATAAATGCATCTAAATACACTCCATATGATACTCCTAAGCCTGAATTTAGCATTTTTAGAAAGGAGTGTCCTTTTACTCTCACTTACCTTTTTAAAATTTATAACCAGCACAGATAGGAGTTTCAGAATAAATTGCTTTAATTTGGCTATGCTGGATATGGTCCAGCAGCACTGTACACGCAAATGTCTCTGGGGTGGACCAGCAACAGAAGAATAAAAGAGGCCAGGTGAAGGAAAAATAGTGAGTGGTAGAGATTTGGATGACCTGGAGTGCATTTGCCCTGTCAAAGGGGTGACCACTATACAGCTTAGGCCACCAGAGAATGAGACTTTAAGCTGAAAATACTCTGATTTTTCAAGAGAAACTGGATTTTTTTTTATATGGAATTTCCTGAGACGTAAATGAAAGTATCTAATTTAAATTTAAAGCAATGAATAGAACAAAGAAAACACATTTGAGCTGCCAGTAAAGGACCTGTGTTTTATGTTTTCTTTTGTGAGGTATAAATTTGGTAGGGTTGATGTTCATATATTTGTTGTTGAATTTAAAAAATTTTTTTTAGATCAGTATTCTCCTTTTGCATCCAGCAGTGGAAGAAGACTGAATATCTGTTACACCAGAAACATGACTCTTAAGGATGGTAAAAACAGTAAGTAATGTTTTATTAAAAGAGAAATGTGCTTCATAGAAATAGATCACATTTACCTGAAAAAAAAAAAAAACAATTCAGCCTGGCTGCAATCAGTCAATTACGTTTTTTAACATCCCTAGCCTAAACTTTGGAAGGAAGTATGCCAAAATAAAAGAATTGATTTGCTCTGGGTAGAGTTAATGGTATTTGTTTTTCTTGTTTATGCTTTTCCATATTTTGTAAATATTTTTTAAAACATGTCATAAAACATACACAGCAAAATGACTAAAATGAAATATGCCAAAACATCAGTGAGTTTTCTGTCAGATGGTGGGATCTGAGGTAGCCTTTTTTCCCCGTTTCTTTGTACTTTCTTAGCTTTGAAATTTTTCTTCAATGAGAACGTATTACTTTTAAACAAGAAAAATAATAACCAAAACTACTCTGGGGAAGGATTACCCATTGCTCAGGCACTGTTTCAGGTGGAAGTGGGTTACTAAAGAGCTATAATTTATTAATGTTATCACGTGTAAATTTTTATCTTCATAACAACTTAATGAAGAAGAGTCACTGTTATACCCACATATTGCTGATGAAACTGAGGCTTGGGAAATGTAATAACTTAATGAAGGCTAGTTAGTGTCAAAGCCAAGATTGACACCCATTCTTTCTGACCTTGACTCCTGTGCTATTTCTACCACTTTTCCAGTGGAAAAATGATTTTTGATTGCAAACTAATTTGAGTAGGCTTAGAATAGGCCCTGATTTATTGTAACTGAAGGTAGAAGAGGCTGACACCTAAGCCAGAAGGCAGTTTATAAACTATGGCTGAAACAGTGTACCAGAGGGACCAGAATCCTGTAGTAGCAGATGGCTATATTCCTTCTGCTGCAGGACAGTTTGCCTGGGAAGCCAAATGGGTGCAGAGTCAGAGCTGGGAGGGTTAGATAACCTTGAATGTGAGATGTCACTGAACTGTGATAGCTCCATTATAAAGATATACGTACTAGGTAGAGCAGAATCCTCCTGCCAGCTCATCACAGCATCCTCCTCCCTGGACAGAGTAGAAATTTCTTTACCTCAGATCTTTGTAGACATCCACTCACTTGTTAACAGATTCTTTCTTCACAGAAATTGATTGGGTTATAGCTCTTTAGGTATTTTTTCATTCTGAGCCCAGATGGTCTTTGCCCTAAGTGCATTGAGTACATGGAAGGAAAGTTTGCAGACATTTCTTATAAAGTAGCATTTTGCAAATGGTTAACATATCTGCTGATGTGTTTATTTATTTTACCTTAAAAAAATAGTCTTCAAAATCTGGGCATATTTTACTGTGGACTCCTGTATGCTGAATACAAGTATCAACAGCAGAGTTTCAATGGCCTCTTCAACCTAAATTAAACAGAAAAGTCACGCGTAATTAAAATTCAGATGAGCCAACTGTGTTATTTGGCACAGAGACTCTGATCAGTGTTTTGAATTATATTGCACTTCCTGGAATTTTTTTTAAATTTTAAAATAAATAAGTATATAATCAAAAAACCAATATGAGTGCTGTTCACTACATCCTTTTGGTAATACTTTTGAACAGTAATCCAGGACTGAATGTAACATCTTTCAGAAATGTTGTGGTGAGTGTTTAATAAATGCTAATCAGCAGTGACCGTGGTTGACTAAGAGAATGTGCCAAGCAGGAACTCTAAGGACCCAAAAGCATTTGTGAGTCTAAAGTAGAACCAACTCCTAATGATCTCAGTGAAAACGATCCAGTATTTTAAATATTCAAGGCTTGAAAAATAATCTTCCTTTGTTACTATGGCTATGTGTCACAGAACCCTGCTCTACCCTTACTAATAATAGCTAAGATTTATTGAGTGTTTGGTATATGTCTGACACTGTGTTAAGCACTCTCTATGGATTATTTCATTTGCATTTTCAGAATAGGCCAATGAGACAGTTTTATTATTAGTGTCATCTTTATAAATTGGGAATTAAGGCTTAGAAAGACTAATAATTTTCTTAAAGTTGCACCAGAAGTAATTGATGGAGCCAGAATTTGAACCCACACTCCAGGGTACATGCACTTAACCTAATTTTAAGCATAGTACCCCATGCTACACTTATATGCCTTATTAAATACATAAGAGGATGTTTAAGGTTCTCTTGTAGGGGGTCAAGAGATGTCTAAAGGAGGAATGAACAAGCCCAGTTACTCTGTAATATATAAAAGAATTTAGAGTTTTCCTGGCAATGTTTTTACTATGATTCTGTTGACATCTGCCAGTTAAATACTTTTCATACTTTATAAATGGAAAGAAAACTGATATGGTGTAATTAGATGTATTTTCTCTTAACAGAGTTTAAAGATATCAACGAAATATAGGGTGAAGAAGTTTCATTCATTCATACATTCAATACAAAGTTTTTGGGAAAAAAAAGATATTCTGAATAATGCAAAGAAGAGAGAAAAAAGATATAAGGAATTTACCATTTGGCAAGGGGAGAAGTGTATATGCTGGCAAGTTGGATGGTGTAGTGGTTAATAATGCAGGTCCTGGAGTTAGACTCTGTGGGTTTGAATTTTGGCTCTCCTCTTGTCTGACTCTTGGGCAAGTCACACACTCTCAGCATCAGGTGTCCTCAACCATAAATGGGGGATGGTAGTGGCAGTTACTTCCTTAGGTTGTTGTGTATGTTGAATGAGACAACACATGTAAAGGAATTAGCTCACTGTATGGCCTCTAGCAAGCAGTCAGTAAACAGTAGCTGTTATTGTCATCATCATCATCATTATTAAACTATCCCCTTGCTACTATGGAAAGAACAAAGTAGATATGTATGTCACATTTAATCTTAAAAAAGTAGGTTACAGAACAATATGTATAACAATATCCTATTCTTATAAAAGGAAAAAATAAACTTGTACATTTTAAAAGGTCTGAAAGGATTCGTGCATTAAAGAGTTTAACAGTGGTACATCTGGGCAATAGAGGGCTTTCACTTTTTCTTTTGTATATTTCAGTATTTGACTTTTGTGAATATTTGAAATTTTTAAAAGCAGCTGATAAAGGGAAAAAATCTATCATAAAATAGATGAGGGGAGAATCATAGTGAAGTCTGAATGTTCAGAAAGAGAACTCATTCCACCTAGACAGACTCTTCCCAAGGACAGTGAGTGCGTGATATGAGCAGTGAGTGGGGTCTCAGTCGGTATGGCTGGGGACCAGCAGCGTGTGAAGGAGGAGCATGAGCAAAGAGGCACGATTTCAGGGAAGGCTAGAGACATATATGGAGAATATTAGTTGGCCCATTTTCCCATTTGTTTGGGACACAGGACTGTGTAGAAGAATGGTGGGAAATAAAACTAGGAGTTTGGTGCCTTCCATAGCATGCTAGGCCAAGTATTTTGAATGGGGGGGGGGGCATTCTGGGAAGCATCAGCTGGAAGGGCTGGGACTGGAAGCAGGAAGTTCCGGGAAAACCTCCTCAGAGTCAGCCAGGCTGGAGGATGGGGGCCTGAATCAGGGTAGAGCAATGGAAATGGAAAGGAAGAAATGTAGAGGACAGGTCCTTAAAGGGAAGAATTTGGCCACTTTATGGTAACTACTGGAGGTGGAAATCAAAGAAGGATGAGGCAAGAATGACAGGTTATAAACCTGGATGACAAGGAGAATGATGGTGTCAGTTATCAAGCTCACAGGTCAGCAGGGAAAGCAGGAGGAAGGAGAGATGATTTGTTGGACCCACCATGTTTATTTAAGATGTCAGTGGAGGATCCTGTGGGGAGTGACTTAACTGGAGTTCTAGAGAAGGAAGGTCAAGGCTAGAGACAGACTTAAGCTGGCAGCATCCAAATGCTGGTTGACGTGTCAGGAGTAGATGAAATGACTTTGGTCTGTGTTCTCCACCCCACAAAATTTCCATCTCCTAGGATAGTCTTTAACCTATTCTGTCTTCACATGATAATATGAATGTATTGTATATTATATTTGTATAGTCTGTTACAGTTTATAAAGTACTTTCACTTTCAATTACTGTTACATTCTTATACCCAATTAATGGACCAGAATAGATCAGAAAATCAAGACTCAGAGGTGACCATGCCCCAGATGGCAGATTTGAGTCTTAAGTCAAAACTTCTCTTACTCAATTAATAACATTTCCTACTATGACACAACTGCCTTTCTTGTTGAGGGGGAAATATATGAAATGTCTTACAATCTTAAAAAAGCTGAAACTCCAATTTTAAAAAAGAAAAGTTTGAAATTCACCATTATTGAAACCTGTTTAATTTTTTTTTCAAGTCTTTATTGCCAGAGAGTTAGAAGATGTTGACGTCCCTAACAACTAGTTATCCTTAGGTTGAAAGTGAGGTTTGCAGAATCTCAGTTACTGAATAAATGAATGTCTTCTAATTTTTCTTCAATTTCCCCCCTTTTTCCATAAAGATGTAGCCATAGCTGTAACATATAACCGTGATGGGTCATATAGCATGCAGGTAAGCCTTCTTGGTTTCGTTCTACAGTTCAGAGCTAAATCTGGTCTCTCTCATACTGAGTAGAGTCTTTTTTCACTCTCTACTTTCTCTTAAGCCATTAATTATTTTGACTGTAGTTAGGAGAATGTTATGTGCTTTCATTTCAGACCAATTTGGAGAAATTATCCCCTATACAGTTTATGAATATCTACTCAGTTTGGCTGTGATTTCCTTAAGAATAAAAATGTGGTAAAATAATAATAACAACAGCAGCAGCAGCAGCTTTGAATCAGACACTTAACAAGCCCCTAAAGTATGTGCATACGTTTACATCTAAAGCAGCAGTTTGCAAACTTTTTGGTCTGAAGGCTTCTATATACTCTTAAAATTTACTGGGACTCCCCAGAGAGCTTTTGTTTGTGTTAGTTACATTTATTTAATATTTACCATTTAAAAAATTGCTCTGAGCAAAAAAAAAAAAATTATTATTTTAATGTATTTTTAAAAATAAACATAATATATAAACTATAGAGATTAGAGGCATTAAATACATTCACATTGTTGGGCAACCATCACCACCATCCATCCACAGAAGTTTTCTTCTCTTGCAAAATTGAAATTCTGTACCCATTAAACAGTAAGAGCCCATTCCCTCTTCTCCACCTGCTCTCTCCAGGCCCCTGACAATCACTATTCTACCTTTTGTCTCTGTACATTTGACTATTCTAGGTACCTCATGTAAGTTGAATCATTCAGCATTATTCTTTCTGTAATTGGCTAATGTCACTTAGCCTAATGTCTTTGAGGTACTTCATGTTGTAATATATGTCCGAATCTCCCTCCTTTTTAAAGCTGAATAATATTTCATTGTTTGGATATACCGTACTATTTATTTCTTCATCTATCGATGGACAGTTGGGTTGCTTCCAGCTTATGCCTGTTGTGAATAATGCTGGTGTGAACATTGATATACAAATACCTCTTCAAGACCGTTTTCAATTCTTTTGGGTATATAACCAAAGAAGTAGAATTACTGGATCATATGGTAATTCTATCTTTAATTTTGAGGGGAACTAATGTACTCTTCCATAGTGTCTGTACCATTTTGCATTCCCACCAACAGTGCACTGAAGTTCCAGTTTCTCCTCATCCCTCCTTGCCAACTTGTATTTTGTTTGTTTTGGTTTTTTTCTTTTTCTCCTTAAAAAAACTCCTGAGGTGTGTGAAGTTGCATCTCACTGTGGTTTTGATTTGCATTTCCACAATGACTTAAAATGTTAAGTATCTTTTCATATGCTAATTGGCTTTTTTTTTAATTTTCTTTTGAGAAATGTCTATTCAAGTTATTTGCCTTTTTTTTAATTGGGTTGAGTGGCAGGATAAACTGACAAAAGTTTAAAACCTAAGATTACACAAGCACATGTTGCATTAGCAATTAGAGGGATATTATAACATGTCCTACAGTCTAGAAAATTCCATGGTATGCTTGTGAGAGAATGAATGTTAAAAAAGACAAATGACATTCTATTATTATGAAGTAGTTTGACTCTGTGGAACCCTTAAAGGGGTTTTGGGGACCCCAGTGGATCTTAGTTTTTAAAAGTTCATTACACTGGCAAAATGAAATGCTAGGGGGGAGGGTATAGCTCAAGTGGCAGAGCTCATGCTTAACATGCATGAGGTCTTGGGTTCAATCCCCAGTACCTCCTCTAAAAATAAATAAAATAAACCTAATTACCTTCCTCCCCGCCCCCCCAAAAAGAAAAAGAAAAAAGAAAATACATGTATGAGGTTTTTTTTTAATGCCAAAAGGGTTAAAAAGCAATGTGAGAACTCAACTAAATTCCCATAGTAAGTACAAATTCAGAGACTAAAATAAATCATTTTTAGTATGAGGTAAGAAATTTCAAATCCTACAAAACAAATTTATCAGTAATGCACTTTAGATCCCCCAACACTTTGAGACACATTGGGTTTTTTTCTCTGAGATTCAGAAAAATGATGGAACATCTACCTCCTTTAGTATATGAGAGCTGCAGTTCTTTTGGTACCTCTAATTTAGGGACCCCTTCTTATCCCTTGGTAAATGATAAAGTAAATTGCAAATTTCTTCTCATCTGCTCATGAAACTACATTCACAAATTTAGAATGTGTTTCTGTGAATCATTAAACAAAACTGTTCCCAAACTAACCTTTATGTCCTGAGAATTCCACAAACATTCAAGTGGCTGTTTTAGTAGGTTACAAAGCAGAGTAAAATGTCATATTTAACTTAGGATAGGTGAAAACCAATGTATAAATACTGCAGTGTGACCTGTTTCACTTTAGCCTACATAATATATTTGAAAAGAATAGCCGCAGGACTCTGACACTGACATGGGAATTGAGGTGAAAAATAGAGAAGATTTCAATGGATTTTCTGTGTGTAAGGGAAATTTTTTTCTTGGTGTATATGTGAGAAAACATCCTTTAAAACAGTAAAGTTTCATGTCCTTTTGTCAGCTGTTTTGAAAGATTAAGTGTGAAATCTATTCTTCAGTACTCTGTCTGAGAGTAAGAAAATTGTGGTCAATCTTCAGCTAATTTATCTTCTTAAATCGTGACTGTAACCCATAAATTGGATCTACATGTTGGTGAGATAAAAGAAATCTATCTAATTATGTGCTTCTGGCTTTTTTCATTATTGACTTTGACACAGTAAAACTAAATTTGACTTTGGGTACTCAGAAATGAGTATTAACATATACTCAACTGAATTTTAATAATTTTGTTTACTTTGATTTGTATTTATTTTTTCCTTTTTTACTGCTATTCTTAGTGAACCTCTATCTGTTGCATTATGGTGCTGTAGATGTATAACCACTTTTTTTTTTAATTATCTTAACTGCTGTTTCTTTCTAGAGTATTTTGTTTATGAATCTTAGGGGGAAATTTCCTACATAACTTAAAAAATTTTTTTTACCTACTACCTTTTGAAACTATTACTAGTAAAGAATTGATTTTGATTTTAGTTCTGTAGGATTGTTTGTTTATTTTAAGGATCTTACTTTTCTGTTTTTTTCAGATTGAAGATAAAACTTTCCATGTCCTTGGTGATCTTTACAGCGAGGGAGACTGCACGTACCTGAAATCTTCTGTTAATGGAGTTGCCAGTAAAACTAAGCTAATTATCCTGGACAACACTATTTACCTATTTTCCATGGTAGTGTCTCTTCTTTATAATAACACTATTGGAGTTTGGGAGAAAGTTGCTTGGCCAGAGGCATTCCACTGAGTTATTAGAAAGATCCTGCTTCCTTCGCACACTGCTGTGACCTTTTCTCTATTTCCCTTTCACTCTGTTTATTTGTCACATTCCCGCCTTCTCTAGTTCTCCATTCATCCCTTTTGTTCTCACATATTCTCACTGACAGACACATACTTTCTTCCTTTAATCCTCAAATACCCTAACCCTCTTGTCACAGCATATCTCCCTGCTTGGGGAGCAGTGTTCTCTCAGGGATTGATGCCTGAACACTAACGGTACCTACCTCATAAGGTTGTTGTGACAATCAATGACATAATAAATGTATAATTGTTAAGAACAGTTCCTGGCTTAGACTAAGCACTTGATAGTGGGGATACTGCTAAAAATGGCTTCCAGACAGTGCCTGTCTTTTACCAACAGTTATTAATTATTTTAATCCCCTGTGAGGCTTGTATGCTGTTATTCCTTTATAATAGAAGACGAAGACTGAGAGGGGTTTAGTAATTTGCTTAGGGTCACAAAGCTAGGTTAGAACCCTGGTATTAAAGGTGACTAATATTTAACATAGCTTGGAAAACAATCATGTGTACATCTATCAAAATTCATCAAAGTACATGTCTGGAATATGTGTAGTTTACGGAAACCATACCACAATAAAAGTGTTTTAAAAAAAAAGCAAAGCAATCATTACCTCAGGTATATTACTAAAGCTGCAGTGATAAGATCTTGATTTAATTCCCAGTTTATATTATATAAATATATATCCTATAAATATCATTTCTCTGTATAGGATGGAAATACTCAGATTGGCATTCCAGTCCCCAAATACTTGTCTTCAGTGAGCTCAGAAGGAACCCAGGGAGGTGCCATAGCTCCTATGACTGGAACCATTGAAAAGGTAATGACGTGAATGTATGTAGGACGATGCAGTAAGGCCTGATAAATGTCTTTGTTGAACTTTGTTTGTGTACCCTTTTCCCCTCTTTCTAAGTCTTGCTCACTGGAAAGCATCCATTTCAAGAAAACAAGAGGATTTTTATAGATTCCAGTTCTATATTACAGTTGAACTTTAATGAAAATACAATTTACCTAATTTATGATGAAGACTGTTCTTTGAAGTGGAAATTTTCATCAAAGTACAAGTTGTCTTTTTATGGTTACAGTGGAACATTCACCAAGCATTATCCAAAACATAAAAGGTATTGGTGAAGAACAGTGTAGTTCGGTGTTGGATGCAGTACATGTTCAGAGTTGAGGTCCATACTGATGTAACTTCAGTGATGATAGATCAGTAGTCTCCTTTTATATCCTTGAACACAGTAGAGTCCTCTCAAATGCATTTAAGTCATAAAAAATTCAACTGTATATTCTTGGTACCAACAAATAAAAGAAGAAGAAAGCAACCATTTAAATAGTGTGAGTGATTTCACCCACTATTCCCCTCTGGAGGTGTGTGCCCCCAAAGGTGACAGTGGACTCGGGGACTCGGATCTGCCTTTTGCTCATTCAGTCTCAGTTCCCACAGGCCTCTGGTAATCCCTGCCCAGGGTGTGCACAGGGTTTACGTTTAAAGGCACTTTTCAGACCACTGATTTCATCAAATGCTACTAATAAACATTGCCCAGTGTTGAGTGATTGTGGGACTTGCTGGCTGTTTCTCATTTTTCACAACTTTGGCTATACACATTGACTTTAGAACCTAACTCTATTGTGTGACGTTTCTAAAAACTCCCTGATAACCATGTTAACCAAGAAAGCAGTGAAACAGTGTGGGATATGTGAGTTCATTTATACCTGAAAATAGGAAAATAAAGGTATTTTTCTGGGTCACCAGTAAGTTGAATTTTGTCACATGAAGATTGTCTATACATTTACCACACAAGATCCTGAAGACTTGAAACACTATCCTATACAACCTAAAAACTGGAAAACCAGGCAAGACCCTGCCTGTCGTGAAAACATTTAAGGATAGTATAGACATATCTCAAGAGATACGGCAGGTTCAGCTCCAGACTACCACAATAAAGTGAGTCACACAAATTTTTTGGTTTTCTAGTGCATATAAAAGTTACGTTTACACTATATTGAATGAGTGACAGGTGTATGAAGATAGTGGCTCCTCTCAACCCCCAAGCACACCATAAAAATGTTATTTTCACTGCAGTAGCATTATGTCTGAAAAAATGCTAACGTCATCTGCACCATCAATGAGTCATAACCTTTTTGTTGGCAGAGGGTTTGAGATATCACAAGAATTACCAAAATGTGACACAGACACAAAGTGAACAAATGCTGTTTGAAGAATGTCGCCCATAAACTTGCTCCAGGCAGAGTTGGCACAAATCTTTTAATTTGGGGGTAGGGTGAGGGAGGGAGCAATATCTGCAAAGCACAATAAAATGAAGAGCTATAAAACAAGGTATGCCTGTAGTCCTTCCCTGTTGGTTGTGTGTCTTGTCTGCACATTTATGGAAAGACAGAAGAATCTCAAAATATGTAAAGTGTATTCATCTGATTCAAGGAAAACTAGATGGATTAGGGGGTGGGGTGGGGAGCTGAGGAGTGCCCCCCACTGACGACAGTGCCCAGCCGACAATGCCAGGCTGACCTGTGGGTCTCTGATTTGTGCCAGTGTGTTTGTATTTGTCAGACAAGACAACCACATAGACTTCTGCTGTGTACGTTTGTATTCCAACTCTATACCACAAAGGACCTCTGTGTTTTTAAATATTAGCATGTCTGAATCTCTAGGTGTTTGTGAAAGCTGGAGACAAAGTGAAAGCTGGAGATTCTCTGATGGTTATGATCGCCATGAAGATGGAGGTGAGTAAAAATCACCAGTTCACTTGCCAAGTAAACTTTGGGAGCTTTCAGTCCTAATCATTCTTTTGCCTTATTTTGTAAGTTAAGGCCATTTTAAATATTAAGAACCATGGGCTGATGAAGCATTAACTGCAGGAAACAAAACCATCCATCTCTTAAATAAATTTTCATTTTAATTTTGTGAGCTCATACCTGTCATTTCTGATTCTGAAATTATCAATAGCTTAGATTCAGGCAGTAACCCAATTAAATGTTAACTTATTGATATTTTCAAAGCCAAACCAAGGATGCCAAGCATCAGTATCAAAGTGAAAACCTCAATCAAATTAAATCAGCTGTTTAGGTTTTTAAAGGCTAGAAATTGTAGGCCAGTAGTTCTCAGCCCTGGTCACGTATTGCACCTAGGGAACTTTTAAAAAAGATTTATTTCCCCAGATCAGTTGAAATGGAATCTCCTAGTGGGGAGCCCAATGTTCAATAGTTTTAAAAGCTTCCCAGGTGAGATACTACTGTCACGCTTGAGCTGAGAATTACTAGCTAAACTAGAGCTTCCCGATGACTGGCCTTGAAAGTGACAGGTGTATCAAGGTAGTGACTCCTCTCAACTCCCAAGCCCACCATAAAAATGTCATTTTCACTGTGTGCTGTGGTATGGGAAAGTTCGGGAAGCACTGATAGGTGACAAGACATCAGAACAATTGACTTCATTTTTCACTTTCTGTGTTTTTTGACGAGGCACGTGCTCAGTCCTCACTGGTATCACAGCTGTTGTCACGCCTTGTGTCTCTGCAGCATACCGTGAAGGCGCCAAAGGAGGGCACCATCAAGAAAGTGCTCTACAGAGAAGGTTCTCAGGCCAACAGACACGCTCCTTTAGTCGAGTTTGAGGAGGAAGAATCTGACAAAAGGGAAGCAGAATAAACTCCATCAAAGAAATGGCCAATATCTCTACACCAAAAAGAGAAAGTGCCTTCCTGCTTTTCTCTGGGTCTAAAGACCAGCACCTTTACTAAATGACTGTATGATTGTGCTTAAAACTGTTTCATATTTAAGAATCATGCACTTGGGTCACAAATACAATAAATTATCTGAAAATATTTTATATTAATAAGATTAAACTGTACTTTTTATTGGAAGCTAATATGGTTTGTTTCTGTCTCAAATTTTATACAATTTAGTTTATTTAGGAAGGTGGGCAGCAACTTGGTCAAAAGAGAATGACTGAAAGGGGAAAGGTGATTTAACTAAATTATTTCCCATTTGCAGTCATGACAAAAATGGACAATAACATATTTCAGAGACAGATGTCATAGTGCTAAACTCAACCAAGGATTGGTTTTTGCTAAAGAGTTTAGGCAACTTCTTAGGCAGTTTAAAAACAGGGATGTTATTTGTTTTTGTGACTGGAAAGTTTCAATCTAGACTACCTCTGCCTTCATTGTTCTTTCTAAGCTTGTACAAATATATATGCACACACACTTGCTTTTGTGTACATATATTTTATATACATATAATATTTAAATTATATATTATATACTACTACATATTTTTTCTAGAAACACATTTACAGCGCCCTGCATTTTCAGGTATCCACTGAAGTGTTAAATATTTGAAATGAGTTCTTGCTGCACACATGAGACTGTGTTAAATGTTGTGGAGAATATAGAGAAATATAAACATATGGTCTCTGTTCTTTAAGATGCCAATGATTTAATTGGAAAAATAAGACACAACCATGTCAAAAGTTATATGGGAAAACAATCAAATCCAAAATTAAACAAGTCCATTGTCAACAGAGTGGTGAGAAAGGTACCAAATACTAAATTTGGAAATGCAGAGTTCTCAAGTAAATCTGATTACACAGATTAGTTAGAACATCCCATTTTTCCAACAAGGCAGTATGCAATATCCTACAATGTAGGTGGGATTGAAGACTAATGTCAAAGGACTGGGCAAAACAGGTATTTTAGGAGCTGGGGCGGGAAGAGAGTTCTTTGGGCAGGTGTGCTCAGGGTAGGTTTCATAAAGGAAGGAGAACCCAGAGACAGTAGTAGGGGGTGGGGTGGGAGTTGTAGACTAGAAAGGAAGGAGCAGGGCTACGCAGCTGAAAATGAGCAAGTCGTATTCTATATTCCAGAGCAGATCTGATCAGCTAGGGTGGGAGGTGCTTGGTGGGGAGGGAGTGAGCAATAAAAAGGTAAGAAATTTAGGATGGGGCCAGATTGTAACTGACATTGAATTGCAGGTCTGGATTTTATCTTGTAAGTAGTGGTTACATTAAATTATATTTTAGTAGGGAAAGCAATGATTTTGGAAAAATTTATCTGGCTATTAGAGCTCCTTTAAGAAACTTGGCCATTTTTCACAGGGTTGAACATTTGCATACCCTATGACCTTACATCCCAGTTCTAGAAATGCACAAATGCACTTGTGCACCAAGAATGTTCTTAGCCACATTACCCGTAATAGCAAAACACTGGAAACAATCCGAGTTGGTTGGCAGGAGAAGGAGTAAATAACTGTGGTATGGCACACAGTGGAATACTATGTAACAACAAAATAAACAAGAGCATCCACATGGGTGAATCTTGGATTCACAATACTGAGTGAAATAGCATGTACCAGGAGATACACACATGGGGTGCTATATAGACTTGCAAAATCAACTATGTTCATATATATAATAAAACTATATATATATTTTTAAATTGTAGTATAGTTGATGTACAGTATTGTGTTAGTTTCAGGTATACAACAAAGTGATTCAGTTATATATATTTTAGATTATTTTCCATTGTAGGTTATTACAAGATACTGACTATAGTTTCCTGTGCTATATAGTAATTCCTTGTTGCTTATCTATTTTATGTATAGTGGTTTGTATCTGTTAATCCCATATTCCTAATTTACTTATCCTTCCTCCCTCCTTTTCCCCTTTAATAAAACTATTTTCTTTAAAAAATAGAATAAAAACCTTAAAGACAGTGATTAGCTCCAGGTATTAGGCCAGGGGTTGACATATGTGAAGTGTGTGCAGGTAGAACAAGCTACTGTTAATGTGCTAGTGTAGGGCTGGATGTTTGGTTGGTCATATTTATTATACAATTATGTTTTATAACATATATTACATATGATTCAAGTAATATTTTAGAAAATTTCATCTGGCAGTAATATGTAAGTTGGATGGAGGAGGAAAGACAAGAGGCTAGAAAACCAGTTAGGAAGAGGTTCTTAACAGCTATTTAGGCAGGAGGTGATAAAGGAGGGGCCCATCTAAACCAGTGCTTTTAACTACAGTTTTAGCAACAGAGCCATTTCCCCTGCCTGAAAAGAACTTCCTCTGTTGACAAGAGGAAAAAGCAGAGGTGCCTTGATGGAAATTTGGGGTTGCTGTATGCCCCCTATATCTTTCAGGGAAACAGGATAGAGTTATTCTCTTAATTCCATTGTTAGGGGCTGTGTTGATCATAATGTGTAGAGAAGGAATTTGAAGCCAACTATCCCAATTACCCACATATTGGAATTCTTTGAGATCATTGCTGAATGTGGTACTGTGTGAGCAAAGTTCTCTGCACATGACTGCATCTGTTTCTTCTAAAACAGGGCATCTGCTGTATACCAGAGCCTCTGGAAACAAAGGTGGTAAGAAATGGTTTTTGCCTTTGCCTCAACTAATGGGAAATGATCCAGCTGTATAGAAAAATGTAATATAATTGCTGGTAAGTAGCATAATATGCTTGGGCACTAGGTGCCCTGGGTTTGGGGGGTGGTCAAGTGAGTGGAGCAATAAATTCTACTGTGGGGCAGGAAGCTGAGGGAGTGGCAGTGACATTTGAACTGGGCTTTGGAGGGTAGCCATTTGCCAGATGGGGAAGGAAGGTAAAACAAGGCCATTGCAGGGAGAGGGACTAGCAAGGGCTAATAATAACAGCGAGGTGTGAAAGTGCACACTGTTCGGGGCACAGGGCGATCCAGCAGAGGCTGGACCCCAGGGCGCGTGGCCCAGAGGGGCTGGGGAGTAGCTGCCTGGCAGTGGGAAGGACTTTATTCTGGAGGCAGTTGGGAGCCCTGGAGGTTTTCAGACAGACAAGTTTTTCAGTTATTTCTGTCCACGGTCTGAAATAGATTGGAAAGTGGAGAGGAACTGGAGACAGTGAGTTCAAAAGAGGCACCAAATATGGAATCCTGTCCTAGGTGCTCCGGGTATGGAAGCCAGACCTCGGGACACATCTCCTTGACTTAAAAGTAGCTCTTCTTTTGGAGAAGATACATTTATAGGCATGGATCCAAACCGAGTCTTATAGTTGGAAGAAAGCTGTTTGCTGCCTTATCTTTGACAATAGCATTCTGGATGCAGTATGTTGAGGATTATAATAACCAAGAAAACAACAACATTTAAGAGCCCTGGTGGTTGCTGTCTAATCATTGAGGAAGCCACATAGCACTGTAGTCAAAACAGTTTCAGAGTTAAAATTCTTGCATTCAGGTCCTGGCCTTGCCACTTAACTGCAGGGTCTTGGGCGTGTGGTTTAACGTCTCTGAGTTCTATCTGTGAGTGGGGATAGTAGCACTACCTCGCAGCTTTGTCATGAAGATTAAATGAGAAAATACAGAAGTTGCCTTTAGCACTGTGCCTGAAACATTTATATTCACCTGATAGTTTTTATTTATTAATTTCTAACTTGCAGTTACTGCTTGAAAGCAATTAAGAAACTGCTCTAAATTGAGCCCAGGTGGTTATTCTTGCCAGCAAAATTCCGAGGTCCCATGGTAGTTAAAAACCCTGCCTGGTCATGCATCACCCTGTCCCCTCTCTTTGCTCCCTCCCTCAGCTCTAGCTTGCTCCAAGGCCAGCCAGGCACCTGTCAACCCCAGGCAGACTGGTGCTGTCAGGGGAAGCCTCCATCAGCCCCTCCCCCTGCGACAGTGGCTGCCAGATTGGCATGTCCCAGAGCCTTCCTACTAATGGGACAGCAATGCTCCCAGAAGCAGCTCGCCTTTTGCCCAAAGGCTGGGCCTGGGTTTATTCCACCTTCCATATCAGCTGTCACTCACATGCATAGCTGGTGCTTGGAGGCAACACCTTCCTGTCTGACTTAAGTGTGGGTGGGCATCACCACTTCTGCTGGGGAGTAGAGTAGGGAGGTCTCTTACTTAGCTGAACTCACTTTTTCCCTCCAACAACTGGCTGCTCTTGCACATGTGCTGTTCGTAACACTCTAATAGTTCTCTTAGGAATATTAGATGTCAGAATGTGCTTCTATGTTCTACCTACACGTGACACTTCTGCTATTGTCATTAAAGTATTTACAGAGTTGATAGTAATACTCCACACTTAACGTTGCACCTTTCATCAGGGGATCTCAAAAAAGCACTCCTAGATAGTCACACTAAGCTTCAAAATACCCAGGAAGAAAAATGCGATTTAAACTGTGTGATGAGAAGGGAGAAGATGGATGTCCCCATATTCTTTGTTCCAAGCTCAGAGGAGGGAGCCTTGGATTGTGACTCCCTTCCTGCTAATGACACACTGCTCCCTGAAGGCTGGCCCCAGGGAGCTGCAGCCTTGGGGTTAGTAGTTCTTCTCCACCAGACTGAGTATGGGGCATCCCAGGAGGCCCTGCCCCCAGCTCTCAAAGTCTCAGGCTGGGTGGGAACAGTCTTGCCTGTCTGCCCCACCTGCTGTGAATAACCCTGGGGACACAATTCCTTCTTGACCAGATCGTAGCTCTGTTATCGGTGATTACCCTCTCACCCTGACATTTGTCTCAGAGAATCAGAGCCCTGTGATGAATCACTGGCTCAGTCTCCTGCAGTGAGCTGCATGTACAGGGAGCACTCCCCCTTAAACCTCCAACCACAGCCCTGATGTAACTCCCTCCCTCCTAAGATGGCTAACATCATTCTCTGTTAGCACCCCTGCTCCTTAGCATTTTGCTAAACCATTTGATTAGATTTGAAATAACTCATTCCAAATACACCACTCCCACCACCAGAAAAAATGAAGAAATACAATAAAAAAGGTAGTTTGGGACTTCTCTGCTTTCCCAATTTTTTTTTTAAATTTCAGAGTTATTTATTTATTTTTCATTGATCTTCCCACTTATTCCTTTATCATTACCGCCTACATCATAAAAG